TATATATATATAGGTTTATCTGATCACGTCAAGGCATATATTCAGTCGATAGTACTCAAAAAGTTGCTCGAAAGCATCTCATTCGATGATCACTATGGATTTCATGATGACGACACGAAAAAGATTAGCACAACAAGTCTGAGCGCCGGACAAGTATAGCCAGAGTGCCGGAATAGATTCAGCGTCAGAATCAATGAAGCAAAAATAAAGCTAACCTCCAAAATTTTATTCAGTTTATAATATATTTACTGGAAGGCTGTTTTTGATCAGTTATCTTCATATGACTTACATATATGTCAATTTTCAGTACTCTTTTTGGTGGTCTTCGTGGTGGTACTTTTACGTATGCTACAGAACTGGTTGCTCGCCAAATGCGATATGATTTATTTAACTCATTAGTGCAGCAAGAAATAGGCTTCTTTGATGGTACCAAGACAGGTATTTCAAATATCATAATAATGATTACTGCGAGCTGATTAGTACATTGGAGATATCTGATATTTTGATTTTATGTATTTGAATATAAATTCATAATTATTTCAGTATTAATTATTAAATATAAAAAACTGCTTTTGGTTTAAACGATTTTTTTGTTTCACAGGGGAGATAATATCTCGTTTAACATCCGATTGCCAAACAATGTCTTCAACAATTTCTACCAATATAAACGTTTTTCTGCGAAATGGTGTGATGCTTCTTGGTTCGTTAATATTTATGTTCGCATTATCGTGGCGCCTCTGTCTCGTTACATTTATTGCTGTACCTATTGTCGCATATCTAACAAAGATCTATGGGTCTTATTATGATGTAAGTTTGGAAATTTGCAATTTCTTCTAATTGTTTGATTTTTATTATTTAAAGTCTTGTAATTATCAAAACGACAACATTTTCTTTTTCTCGCACTTTGGAATATCGTATATGCTCATTAATATGTTTGGAAATTAAGTAAAAGAATAAGTATTATGGTAGAAGAGTGGAAGGGTTATATGTCATATGGAATTCATTTGTTTTGAAAATGAAGTATACTAGGGTATACCTGAACTTGCTTTATACAGTTAAAAAAAAAATTTACGAGATTTTTTTACTGTGTTTTGTTTTGAATTATACATATCTGTTTCACATTTAGGTCAAGGATGCAGAACTTATTTTGAAGACTAGAAAATACTTTTTTATATGCTTAATGTTATGGATTGATGAAAACAGTCCAATTAATTGATAATAGTTATTTATAGGTTGTCTTTCGGCTTTCAGTGTTTGCCATAGTATTTGATTTGTAAATAATTTCTTTCATTTTTTTACAGCTTTTATCCGAAAAGGTGCAGGAAACGAAAGCTGTAGCAAATCACGTGGCAGAAGAAGTTATTAGTTCCATGCGCACAGTACGATCGTTTGCCTGTGAAAAACTTGAAGTCAGAAGATTTGAGCAGCATTTAGAGAGTACTTTAAAATTAAACCAGAAGAAAGCATTAGCTTATATGGGTTATACATGGACTAATGAATTTTGTGACAATGCTGTTCTTGTTGCTGTATTATTTTATGGAGGGCATCTTGTTTTGTCAGGTTATTTTTTTAATTTCAACGATATTTCTCAAGTAATAAATCCAGAATATATGATATGTATCTTTATTCTCAAAAAAATGCATTTTATTTGACTAAAAATATTTGCAACTAATATTTTCATCTCATGACTTTTCACTATTTATAGAATATACTAATTATTTTATTCATGTAGGGAAAATGACCGGTTCTGGTTTAATATCTTTTTTATTGTATCAGCTGCAACTTGGGGAAAATCTCTACGTAAGTTTTCTTTTTATCATATATATCAGTTGATGTTTTCTCAGCACATTTAAAAGTAACTATCAAATTATGAAAAGTTTGCGATATTTTTTGAAACCTGTATTTCAGAACTGCAATTTTATAATGTTTTCATAATGTGATGTCGAAGAACATTGTTACTAATAATTCATTTTTTATCTTCATTACATTTATTTTTAAATAAATTTTTGAATGAATGTATTGAAGATCAAGAACGTTTCTTAATTAATGTAATGAAGAACACACAAATAAAATGAAATTGATATTCAGGCAATATAAAAAAATTTATTTTTTAATATTTTCCTATTTCTATAAGCATGGTATAAAAATAATTTCATTTTATTTTGATGCGTTTTTTAGTCATACATTATCACTTAATTTTTTTAAAAATTTTACATTGCCTGAATATCTGTACTTATGGATTTTCAGAGTATAGGTTACGTATTTACGGGCTTGATGGAGGGTGTTGGTGCGTCGCGAAAAGTCTTCGAGTATATGTTGAGAAAGCCAAAGGTCCTTCATATAGGAACAAGAAAGACTGAAATTAAGGGCGAAGTACAATTTGATTCTGTGTTTTTCACATATCCTTCAAGGCCTAATAATCCTGTACTTAAGGTTTGAAGTTTTCTTTTCGACTTCTCCAATTTCAAAATCATGAAAGGCTGAAAAAACTTTTAGTTGACTTTGGTTATTTTGGTTTTGCAAGGAGCTGAAAGATGCTATGTAAACATGATATTTCAAGGCATTGTAAATGCAGTTTGGTTTAAATATTTCATTTAAATGTTTCCTCTTAAATCTCTATTTTTTTAGGATGTTACCTTTACAATTCATCCTGGTGAAACTGTTGCTTTAGTTGGACCGAGTGGTGGTGGGAAATCGTCTATCGTTTCACTAATTGAGCATTTCTATGAATGTAACGATGGAAAAGTTTTAATTGACGGAAATCCAGTAGCTGACTACGATCATCAGTATATTCACCAGAAAGTCAGCTCTTATAGGAAAAAATTTACCGAATTTCAGATTCCTACAAACAAAAAAATCTTTTTGATTTGTTTCAAACTTTCAGATAGCTTTAGTGGCTCAAGAGCCAGTTTTGTATGAGGGTAGTGTGCGGCACAATATTTTGTATGGATGTGAATGGGCTACTGAAGAAGACATGCTAAATGCTTCAGAAATGGCTAATGTGCATGATTTCATTATGGAAACGGAAGACCAATATGATACTAATTGTGGTGAGAAGGGCATCCAACTGTCAGGTAATTTTATATTGAGTGAAATGTTACATGTAGTTCATTATCAGAATTATAGTTTAAGTAGTAGATAAAATTTGTGTGCTTCATTAATTTAAATGTTTTATATCTTGACAAAATTAATGACTGATTGAAATGCATAAGATATGAAGCAGGATAAAAATAGCTTAATATAATGTATCTACTGATATGGTTATTTTGCACCGTATGTTTTTTAAATTTTCATTGTACAGTCTTGCCATTCTTATAAATATTTAAGCTCGACTGGAAAATCTACTTTTTATACTTTTTTGCGCGCTTGATATGTGTAAATTTCAAGGTAAAATATTCATTGTAATCAGTGATTTATTACTTGAAGTAAAGCAGCACAACAAATAATATTAATCGTTATAGGTGGCCAAAAGCAACGCATAGCTATTGCCCGTGCATTGGTTCGCCGTCCTGCAATTCTTATACTAGATGAAGCGACGTCAGCTTTAGATGTAGAAAGTGAGCATACTGTGCAAGAAGCTATTGCTCGTTGTGCTAGGAATAAAACAGTTATAGTAATCGCTCATCGTCTGAGCACGGTTGAAAACGCTGACCGAATAATTGTTATCAGTAAAGGACATGTAGAGCAGGTTAGTCTGGTTGTAATATCCTTTGAAACTATTTCTCAGCGTAGATGAATTACTTATGATAAAGTTGCAGTGGACCGCTGTTTCCGCTCAAGACCCTACACTAGTTCTTAATGACAATGACTAACTGAGTAAGTTTGTGATCCCTATTCTCTGATTTCACTGTTATTGATATCATAATAGTTCAAAATATTGGTCCTAGAACTAAAGTGTTTAATAACGTAAACTCTTGAGCTGCTGAGTACTTTTTTATCAAATAGCGATCATAAGTGAGTTTTCCAGATTGGGAGTCATAAGGATTTATTGGCTCAAGATGGTCTTTATCGATCTCTAGTACAAAGACAGCTTATCGACAGCAGCAGTTGACGCTCCGCAAGCTGCAATATCGCACTATCTACTCATTATTGCTGATGTGCCTGTAATTTCGTGCTGGAACTTATATGCGAGATAATGGAATTATTACCATTTGAGCATAGCCCCTACTGAATCTCTATAGTGTCATTGCTCATCTCTAGTTATTTACTGGGCTTAAAGATGTGAATCATTAAGCCAAGGACTCACACCTCCCTTTATCACCATTTATATATATATATACTTTCAGCCACAAAAACGTCTTAAACTTTATTTTTATGTCTCAAGATTCCCTTGCAAAAAGTCGGTTCTTATTTCTTTAAATATTATACACAATTAAGGACATAAGTGTTTGGGATGATTCTACAGGATGTAGAAACGCACATATATTAACTATAGATAAGATGGAAATAACTTCATCATTTACATTATCAACTTTGAATTTTTACATTATTTTAATCTTCTGACATACCAGTATATCGTTCAAATAAAGCCACGAAGAAAAAAACTCTTTTGACATTGAGAACAACAAAGTAGATCGCTCGATGCGAATGAGCCAGCTTATTCTTTAATGTATACAAGAAAATCACATTTTTACATTACAATTCAAATACTATTTAAAAAAGCAGTACAAAAATATGGTTAACGATCCCTCAGTGCACTTCCGTTCTAGGTGGGGCAGCAGTGAAGAATTCATTTAATAGATCAATGTCTTCTTCATTTAAACCTACAGCATTATGGATCACAGGTGGAGAAATGACGTTACCAGGTTTTGCATATGAAACAATTTGATTATGGAGTTTTCCTTGTACTTTATTAGCAAGAGTAAGCTCGAGATTACCAGGTGGCAATTGCTCAGTAAGAGTAGTTGGTGGGATGGAACTTAAGCGGTTTTTCTGTAGCAATGCTAGATCGTTAATCATTGTGCCAGTCTTATCCAATACATCCTAAAAATCAAACAAGTATTAAGATAAAGAAATGATGGTAAGTGACATGCACATCTTCCGTGAAGTGTTTGACTTATTTTCTGAAAGATTTCAGTACAGATATAAACAATTTTCAATGCAAAGACAAAACATTCTCGATCATATTTTCATTTTGTCAAGAGGAATACAAATGAGAAAATTTGACTGAATTAAAAATATATGTACAGTACCTGAATAGTCTCTGACTCCGGATCTAATTTGTAAATTTTTCTCACATCGCTTATGAATGAAGTATCCACTCCGATATTCTCAAGAGACTCAACATCACTTAGTATCTTGTTCAAGTCAATTTTATCCAGTGCAGCTCCGATCTAAAAATTTAAATGGTGAGAAATGAGACTGCTAGTCAAGTATGGCAATAAACCTAAGGTCCTCAGGAGTTTTAATAACAGTTGAAAGGAAGAAATAGTTTCCTAATACAGAATCGGACAGAGATGACAAGTTATACTAATTACAACAAAAAAACAAGAAAGCTATAGTGCTTCATAATCCTTACATTACTTTTATTAGGATCACTTTCCAATGCTTTCAGAGTTCTTCGATGCTCACCACTTGTCAATGTATCTAATAAGTCATCGACCACTTTTATCATATGTTCACTCGTATTCTCAACCATTTGTCTCAGTGTTATTGCATTTGTTACATTAGTTCTGTAAATTTAACATCCAGAAATTATTTCTTACTTGTAGCAGTTAAATTATTGAAAGAATAGGTGTGACCGACCACTAAGTAGAAGACATTACAAAGACTTAAAAACTGCTCGAATTTAAAGATTTTTGAACTGACTTATCTCCATATGTTCCTAGAAGCAAACGTGAATCTCGTTCGCACAGTGTAGCCCAGGTAGAATCATACTGAGGCGCGAAAGAACTGAATGGTCCAAAAGATAAATAGGAAATTGGAACCTAAAGTAAATCATTAATAATGTATAATTTATCGGTCAAAAATAAATTCAGCACATTCTAAAAAAATGGTAAAAAGTCCAATGATGTTAAAAAGCAAATTAAAAAATCGAATAGACTCACGCAAAATGATTTACTGAAATTCATAAAAACTTTAGTACGTAATTAGTTGATATTTTTTTCAATAAATGTTTGAAATATCAATCTTACGGTAATAACGAGTGACAAAGTGAAATTGCAATTAATGAATTAATTACATTTCAGAACGAAAATAATTCAACTAAGCAGATGAATTACTTGCTTCCATCAAAACAATTATATGTAAGCTTTACATAAACATTCTGCAGAGATTATAAAAACCTTGCTTTATAACAAAAATCCCAGAGATAATAATGAGACGTACTTGATGATTTGATTTGTGCTCCTGTGGAGCACAGAGTCCAGGTGTACCCTCCTGCAATTTACCTACTATATCTCCCAGAGTAATGACTTTTTTCTCTGAGACAGTTGGATTTATTACATTCAAACATATGGCACCATCTTTGTTGTCTAAAAATGCAAGATGGCTTCTAGGTTCTATACTACCATCTGCATTATTAGTACGAGAAACTTTGAGATCAGGAATACGACAGGATAATCTTTCTTTCAGTGAAGGGTCCACAGTTTCTAATACGTTCGAAGTTGTAACATCGTCAACAATTGCCATTTTATAATCAGATTTAGGTATTGGTCTTGGTCGTGATTTTAACGTCAGCCCCAATTGTTGCAATGGAATTTCCTGAAAATTATGTCTTTTCGATTTTCAATTCAGGAGAGTAACGCGCGCGTAACTGAGGTTTTGATGCCCAACAAGAAAGCAAAAGACCATGTTTTTCGGGAATATCTGGCTCGAAACGACAATACGTTTCTAATATCTCGCCATACTTATATGGGTCATGCGTTAAATTGAATAATTTTAAGTGACTCATACAAATTTAATACTACCAAACAAGTCGGAATTAAATACTGTGATGATGACACCAAAGCAATCTCGTTATCAAATTAACGTACCTACGAACCCATAATTTGAATATAAAGGGAAATTAATTTCAAGCAGTTTAATCGATGGAAAATATTCTAACCTTGCTAAATGGAAGGTTATGATAAAGATATCGCAAATTTGCTTCCGAAAAATAAAACTGTACAACCAGATCCATTTTTTGAGCCGCCATATGATACACAGTACCGGGTAAATTGTAGTCCAATGCATTATTAACAATTAATTCAGCATCTTTCCTCATCAACGCAATATTTTCATATTCGTTTCGATCGATTTTGAGTCTCATTGTCGCAAAATCCATCGGTTCCTTAATTATTTCGTGATAATCTGGTGCCATTGCCCTAAATTTTCTCCGCATTATATGCTTTGCTGCGACATCCATTAGTTTTTTTTCCTGTTTTAAAACTAGAATTATGACAAAAGAAATATTTTCACGGCTTCTCGCGCAAATAAAAACTAATAGGAAACTTTAATTTCTTTAAAACTAGACACATACTGAGTGACTGGAAATGCAAAATATTCATCAGGATCTTTTGCTTTCAACCTTCGCAATAAATTATCGCAAAAAAGTTGCAGAGGAGAATACTTGCGAATGGTTGACAATGTCGTGAGTGGTGGCGGTGGTGGTGTACTCTCTTTTTCTTTTTCGACTTCTTCTCCCTGTAATTTTTCAAGTACTTTTATTTGACAAAATAAAACAATACTTTGTAATAGATTCTCTAAATTGTAGAAACAAATAATACATTCGCATACTCTTAACCTTTATTTGATCAAAAGCATCATTTACTTTGAATTTATAAAAAAAAGTGGGTAAGATTCACTTGTTGAGAATTGCACTCTTCACGTTCTTTGCGTTCAGCTGCTAACTGTGCTCTTCTTTCAGCTCGCCTTTTACTCTTTGATATTGAATCAGTTAAACTAAAATATGAGAAGTTCCAAGACTGAATTAATCTATACACACAAAATATATAAATGACTAGATCTGACATCGTTTACTAATCTATAAGACTGATAAAATTGTAACATTATACTAAGACCAATATTAATAATTTCCATAGCAAACACGAAACTCGAGAAGGGTTAAAATGCTTTGATTTAAAATTCTAACGCAAAATTTGAAAAATTAAAAGAGATTATTCTGTATACTTACCGAAATCGGCGCTTTTTACGTGTGACTTTCTTAACTTTTTCCTGCTGCTCTTTTTTTATATCGTCACTACTTTCATTCTCTTCTTGGTCATCTTCTGCGGTAGATTCTTGTTCTGAGTCTGAATCCTCCGTTTCCAAATTACCTTCTGATCGCCTTTTACGATTAGAGAAATTGGTAAAACGCACATTTTTGAAACCAGCTGAACAGAAGAATTTTTATCTTGAACTCTATAGCACATTTATTACCAAATGTTGTTGATGATAGTGACTTCTATTCCGTTTAACCAACGTAAGCAAAACTTGATTTAAAAAAATAGAGAGATTATAAAGAAATTTTAAAATTGCTTCTGGCAAGTAATTACTACAAGTTGTGGTGTGAAATTTAGCAGTTATGAAATGAGATAGCACCCAATGACAACAAACCTTTCGAAGCACGTCGTATGGGAAGGCTTGGTGGAGCACCTGCAGACATGCGAGCTGGCGGAGCACCATAATCAGCTTTACGAATAACAACGCGTGACATGACTAAAAAAGTTTTAATTCGAGCAAATGTAGATAAGTAATTGAAGTACTAAAGTTGTTATACGGAAGACAATGAAAAATGAAAACCTTCATGACTTACAACGAACAAACAACGTGTAATCTGGAATAAATATTAAAATTTGAAACCTAACTATAAATAGCTTTCCTCTTTCAAAAAAAAGCACAATTATAGAATACGGCTAAGTTTCCACTCCACTACTTTTATTACTCTATTCAGCTAAATGCAAATGCAAATGCAAATGCAAAAAACTTGGCATTATTTGAATAATATTTATTCATCTTTTTACTACAATCAACAAACACACAGAGGTTTGAAGAGAGCTCTAACAACTAAATTCGCTAAATTTTTTATATTTAATCATCGTATTTTTTAAGGTTAAGAATAAACAATATGAGAGATTACAAGTCGGACTTTACATAGGATTCTTAAAACTGACTATATTTCTACTAAATAAAAAAAATCTTTATTCTACATCGACTTACAACTACGATTTCTGCGTACTATTTAGGGCTAAGAAAAATTAAGTGATTTCATATGTTCACGCAAAGACTAACTAGCACGCATTCTAGCGACAAACAGAATGCAGCAAGCAGATAATTGTAACGGAACATTTGCATATGTCAGCCAATTTTTTCTGATTAGAATGATTACTTCTGAGTAACTTTAATTGCGAAACAATTCAATGCTAGCAATAGTGATGAAAGCATCTACTGAAAAATGAAGCATCAAATGATTTCTGCTGTTCATTAAGACTGAAAGTAAGCCTATTACACTACTGCAAGACAGCTAAAATTGTCAATGATCGAAAAAATGATGGAGTGAAAGTTAAACACAAGGAATGACACATAAAAGATTGCGTAAACTTTCTGCATGCGTAAAAATTAATTAGTACAAAGAATTGTCATTTTATCATTTTATTTACATAACATTTAAATAAAAACTAAGCGGATGCCCGGAAGTTTAAAGATAAGATACCCCTAAGCACAATTGATTTAACAATGAGGTAGAGACATTGCCATTAAAATTTTTTAAGCGTTAAATTACGCCATATAAGTGTATAATAATTTGACTACACACTGGGAATTACACGTGTATGTTTGGCGGGTAAATGGATATAGTTAATTGTAAGGTGCATTTCAGGTCAGTGGTAGAATTTGAACAAGAGAGACTGAATAAGTCAGACTGTACCATAAAAGATATCTCGTCTTTAAAAATACATACATCAATATGTATTAAAAAACGCGTGCCACACATTTACTCTCTCGGCTTCGCTGTGCAAATTCAAGCATATCACAGAATATTGATTTCCTCCCCATATGTACCCCTCACCAGTGTAAGTAGTATTGTCATGTAAAGTCATACTTGAATGTCAATTTCCGATAAGACGTAGACTATTTGAGATGTAATTCGTACGTGTGCTGTAAGTAAGCACTTTGCAAAATGCATAAGTATCAACGAGTATGCATTTTGTACATGAAAAGCGATACTTCTCTTTGTTTTAAAAACTAGGTGGATTATTTTGAGAGTATATTATTAAGTGAACTCTACGTCAGGTCATCTTAGGTAGGGGTTGCGATGGTTAATTTGTTCTGAGCTAATCTTACCGTTATACACTGTAGCTCAGCACAACAGGAGAAGTTAATGCGAGATTTTATTGCTTTATTTCATTCCTGTATGTTAATTGTTATTTGATAAAGCAACTACAGTTAGGCATTAATAAGTCTTGAAAATTTATGCATGGAATGTCTGCTGTATTACTACTATATAATTTGAATTTGATATTTTTTTAAAGACATGTCACCTTGAAACTTATCGCAAAGGACAACCGGAATCCAACATTTTAGCATGAAGAAGGTGTATGGTATTTTTCCAAACATAGATCAAAATTTGTTTGCTGTAGCTGGTGAAGATGGTTTTCGTATTTATCAATGCAATCCTTTACATCAGCTAATTCGAATTGGTTAGATTTTATCATTGGTAACTTGTTTATGCTGGCCTTGTTTCATGTAAAAAAGTTACTAAATAAACAGCCAAATCCCTATAAACAACTCAAGGTTGCCAAATTTATTTGTTGAAATACTAAAGTTGATTTTCAGATTGATTTTTCTTAAAAATTTCATGAGTTATTAACTATATTTGCAGATGAACGGGTTGTTGGGAGTCTGAGAATTGGCAAAGTACTCGGTTGCTCAAACTTTTTTGGTATGGTCAGTGGTGGATCTTGTCCAAAATATGCAGAAAATGTCGGTAAGATTGTTAATCCTAAAGGGCTATCTTATCTTTAATTGTTTGTTGGGAGCGTTGTTGGCTGGTCAGTAAACTTATGATTCAAATTGTAGTTTTTGACGATAAATCGTTTGACTAGTTTAAATTAAAAATTTCCAACCATAAAGTTCTTATCCAGTTTTTGTCGTCATAAACTTTCATAGGAAAACATAGGTGCATATTAATGTGTGATTTTTATTAGTAATGGTTTGGGACGATGAAAGAAAGAGCGATGATTTCTACATGGAATATACTGTTGCTTCTCCTGTACTCAATTTTCATTTATCTAAGACAAGGTTGTTGTTTTTCACTTTCATTATTCTACATTTTACCAATATAATTTTGGTTCTTCGTCTTAGTCTTATATCTTTTATTTGTCTCGGATTCTTTAAAATCATATAGTATGTCTCACATACCCGTTTTTAAGGTTGATCATAGTGGAAATGAAAGCAATACATGTGTTTAATTTCCCTAATGAAACAGAACCCCTCAAATCTATTGAAACCGGAGCGAATGTGTACGGCTTGTGTGAACTTAGTTATGATTCAAACATGGAGCTTCTTGTTTATCCAGGTCATCGAACAGGCAGTATTCAGGTTTTTTAGTACTATTTTTATTTAATTTGATTTTTTTAAATGAAATAAGACATGATTATCGGATTCTGAATTTTTGCAGTTTGGTCGAGGGATATTCAAAATTTATAAATCATAATAGTCTAAATAACATTCAGTAATTTATTTTTGTCTTGGAGGCAAGAAACAATCAATTTGGGCATACTTGAGGGGTATTCAAATATTATGCACGGTATTTTAATGGTTCATATCTTACGTTTTATGAATAGTATAGATCAAGAACTATATTGTGGAAAAATTTTTATGAAAAAGAACGACATTAACTGATTGTTTTATTTTTTTTCAATTTTTAGTATATAAATTTACGAAATGTTACTTCATATACAACCTTAACACCAACAACAATCAATGCTCATCAGTCTGATATAATACAAATAGCATTAAACAATGCTGCTACTCTTGTAGCTACAGGATCCATCAAAGTATGGTAGTTCTGTTCTTTCAAATTTTCTCATTCAACAGCTAATTGGTTTTAAGTATTTTGAGCTCAATCTCAGTTGAATCTTACTCTTTATCAGTTGTTGCTTGAGAATGAAAACAAAAATTCGGCTGAAAAAAGGATGCCGTTTATCAGTAAGACTTGAATTTTTTAGTACTTAATGTCAAAAAATTTTGTTTGTTTGAGGGAACTGTTATAAGAATTTTCGATACAAAAGTAGGGGAACTAATACGGGAATTTCGTCGAGGCAGCGAATCAGTCATCTTGCATTGGTTAGTGTAAACTGACTAGTTTTAGCTTGGGAATAAAATTTTGTCACAATTTTTTTTAGATAAGCAAGACGTCTTGTATCTTGCAGTTCGAGAATTCTGCATAATCAAGTTTGATACATTGAAAAACTGAAATTTGATATGAATTTGGAGTTACGTTTGATAAAAACTGATTGATATTTTTTTCGAGCTCATTCAATTTGAAATTTTTAATGCAAAATTTTTTAATTCATTCTTCTCACTTTTCTGTAATGAAATTAAGTGAAAAAGATGATAAATTTAGTTCATTTCAGTATACGTTTTTCACCATGTTCTAGTTTCTTGGCAATTGCAAGTGACAAGGACACTATACATATTTTTTCTGTGAAAAATAATGATTTGACTTGGAAAAACTCAAGAACATTGTATGTAATTTCTGTCATTATTCACTACACATATAGGCTAATCTTTTTTACTTAATTGATTCTAGCGCTGGATCGTATCCCAGCAATTTATCCGTACTTGTCTAGCCAAGGTGTCGGAAAACGTTCCAGTGCCAGAATATATATTTCTATATGATAAAGAAAAATTTGTAACCGTGTAATAAAAAAAATCAGTAACTAATAAAATCAATAAAAGTGATTAATCACTTTGAAGTCGTTTCGAGTTTTCAAATTTAAAGGCGTTAGAAACAAACGTTTCATGATACAGATAGGTTATATTAATATGCTTAACATTAGAACTGTAATTTATTATTTGCTATTTTGAATGAAAATATATAAAATGCATTAACAAAATTTTTTTAAGAGCAAAAAATTTTTGAAAAAGTATAAAATGGGATTTCGAAATATAAAACTTTTTCTGAGACTTGTTACTGCTTATATCAGAGATTTTTTGAACTTCGATAAGAAAGGTTGTTCTTAGAAAATTGTGTTTGAAACTGAATAATTATACATTTCCTGTGAGCTGAGATTTTTTTTTTGTAAAAATAGTAGTCATAAATTTATCAGCTCTTACTGATTAATTTTTTGTTCGAAATATTTAGATTTAAATCTTTTGGGGAAGTCATATTTCTTTACTTGCGCTTGTAACTAGCGATCTCAAGTCGAATATCTACTACTTCAAGAAATCTTATGATTTCATTTTCAATAATAAAGTATTGATAAATCGGGTTCTATTTTAAAATCAGTGATATTCAAACTTTTTTAAGGCATTGTCAGAAATAATAATGAAGATATAGTTATCAATTTTATAGGTGGCAGCAATTTGGAATAATTCCAGATGATACTGATCGCGCTCGCATACAACTGAAATTGTCAAGAGCTTCTCAAAATGTCACTATGACTGAGTTAGCTTTTTTAAAAAATGAACCAGAAGAAAATGGAATAGATCAAAATCCAAATAATCGGTTTATTTTGGAAAGCCACGTAAGTTGTCAAAATCAAGGAATTGGGAAAGTTTTGTTACGTTTCATGGTACAGATAGGTTACATTAATATGCTTAACATATTCATAGAACTGTGATTTATTATTTGCTATTTTAAATGAAAATAAATAAAATGCATTAACGAAATTTTTTTAAGAGCAAAAAATTAAAAAAAAAATATATAAAATGTGATTTCAAAATATAAAACTGGTTATTTCTGAGACATGTTACTGCTTATCTCAGATTTTTTGAGCTTCGATAAGAGAGGTTGTTCTTAGAAAATTGCTTCGATACAGTTGCAGTAGTGAGTGATTACTGACCGCATAAAATATTTTTATTATTGGAATACACTTTGTTTGATATATTGGTTCTTTCTACTTTAAATAATATGTACGTATTGGACGAAAAAACATTTTTTCAGGCTCTGGCTGCAATCTGTGACGATGGAAGTTATAGCTTATTCACATTTTCTTCTGATGGTACTTATCATTTATTGCGAGATGAGTACTTCTTAGATTGGGGTGATGATGAAAATTTTTTTGCTGAATGTTTCGACTCATGTGCAACTAAGTGTGGTTCACCAGATTAATAACAAATTGTCTCCAAGATAATATGCACTAATTTGATGAGCAAATAGAGCATTTGAAGAAATTTTAATTTGAAATTAGGTTTATGATTGTTGTGGTAGGTACTGCATATTTCATTTTTGCTATGTTCATTCCGCATTTCTGTAGATATTACTTCGTACTTTCTAAAAATTCATCTAATTCATATGAATAGAAAGTTGTGTTTTCTACTTTTTGATTTCACCAGTTATATGGGAATTGTTTACTCTTACTAAGTTACGGGTATTTCATCTTTAATTTCATTGCTTTTTTTGAAGATAGCCTTGTTTATATTGATCATCGCCTTCTGTACTTCAACTTATAATTGTAAATAAATGTGCTTTTTAAAAGACTTCAAACTTCAGTAGAAAAGTTATTCTAGGATAATGCTTTGAATCATTCGTAGTATTGAGTGTTTGCTAACCTCAGTGAGTATATTTATTATTGGATAGGGCGACTTCGATTTTTCGAAATGCTTATTAGCATTTATTCTGTAATGCAAATGTTTAGATTAATTGCCACTTCTATTAATGTATGGCGTTGATCTATTCTGCACTCAAATTGTTCCTTCGTGCTAACCTTTGCAATGTATGAAAATTTAGAGACGAGTGCTGATCAAGTATTTTATAGAATGAAGAAACTATCACAAAAATAGTATTTAGAAGGGGTTCCTTCTAGTGGTTAATTCTTTTAAATCTATATTAACAAAACAAATGAGTGCTTCTCATGCTTTTCAGACTACTTTTTGATGTAGATTCGCAGTTATAATCATTGAAAACTGGATCACGAAAATAAACAATGCTTCGTGTCTAAAGGGGTCAGAATAAGAATTTGTAGGACCTGTGGGATGGATATTTTCATTGTGCGGTCGTTTTCAAGCTAAGATTACCTGGCTTTTAAAGTTGTCCTTTTTGAGACGTGAATGTCCATTCATTTGCTTGTATGACTCGAGAATGCTTATCCAATGGGGATGTTTCATTTCCTTTGAAATTAAGTAAATTCTGTTGAATTACATGTAATGGGTGTGAAACTGTTGCTACATTCATTAATTTTAGGAGATCAGAGATAAGCGCATTATATAAGTCTACGTAACACTTCAGTTTTTCTTACATCGAGAGTAATTTATTCCAAGCAGTCCTTACTACAAATATTTCAAGCTGGTAAGCATTTCTCGGTAAATTTGAATCAGAGAAGTTAGCAAATTTTCGCACTTCCGTTTTCTGACGTGATAATATCGATAATAAATGAATTAACAGTAGTTCAGAAGTTAGTTTGCGAAATATAATTTGTGATGCTAAAAATAAATTTAATTTTTAGTTTACTTAACATGAGAGTGATTATCATTTTTCAGTTTACGAGTATAGAAAATTCTATTTAACTTGCTTCAATGAGATCTATTTTTACGAAATCATTAATCATCGATTAATTACTTGTTTTTGAATTGCAGTCTGCCTTATTCAATTTCCAAAGTCTCATAACAGTTATTTTGTTATTGATTTGTACGTGTACGTATTTACGAGCATTTGTTCCAAAATTAATTGATCGGAATAAAGAAGGGTAAGTTGATTTTAAGAGATTTTTCAAAAATTTTTTCCTAAAAAGTTATATAAATCATAGTTGAAGAATAAAATCATTTTCGAAAAACATTCAAAATCAAAATATTTTCTTATTACCAGAAATTTTTCAATTAAAAAAATCATATTGATAAAGTATATGTGGAGCAATTGAAAATTATCTACAACATTTTCTTTTATCTTGTGTTCTTTGAATAAATTAAATCACAATTTTTTCTGTACAATTATTTTTTTATTGTCTGGAGACAGAGGAAGGAATGCACTTATTTTATCGCGCGGAATTTACTTATAGGTGCTTGTAACTTTACTGATTTCATGTAGATATTTGCAGATAGGTAAAATCTGTTGTGCTTCACATTTATAGATGTATAAAATCTATCAAATGAAGATTAATTAGAAATTCTGTCTTTTAGTTTACTGGGTGTTTTCTGGAAGTGTGCTCGAATCGGGGAGCGTTTAAGCCCTTGGATTGCTTTTGGGTGTTTGTCGATGGCTTTTGTTGTGCTCTTCCTATAATATTTGTATTAAATGGCTATGTCACCACGTGTTGATGAGGTATAGTAAATTTAAGAATACTCTCAACTTTTACGTTAAATGGTGTGGGGTTATTATTTTTGATATAAATCGCTTTGTTGCTAAAAAAAATGAGTTATTTTAATTCGCTATTTTGACAAAGTAAAAAAATTAAAAATAAAAAACTTACCAGAATCAGCAGATAAATTGTTCATATTCAACAGGAAAATAAGTCAGTAATAGTGAACGATTTGCAATATTAAAAAATTAATACTTGAAGGAAAGGATTAAGCTAAAAGAAATTCAGTAAAATATACTGAATAAATTAACTAGAAAAAGTGAAGATATGCTCTTTTGATTTCTTAATATAAAAAAAATGAGATATTGTTTCTTTCATAATAATTAAAAGCCCTAATTGAAAATAATAAGTCTATCTGTGGATGTAAAATTTTTTATTTTTTTTACTTTGTCATATCTTCAAAAATTAATTGATTATCAGCAGTTGAGTTCCCAAAATTTAACTCTGTTTGTGACTTGATTCCGTTGTGTCTTTAACGCTTTTATTTATTTAGAGTTAGCTTTCTGTTTCTTGAGCATTGTTTTCATTCATCAGATACAAAGAACTCGTGCACTTTTAAATAGTGAAACTCCCGCAACTTTATTAGAATTTGGTAAATGATGGCTTTAACCTTTTCAGACTAAGTATGAGCTGAGAAAAAACCTGCCACCTCAACTTCATAAAACATCAAATGATGTTTACATTACAAGGTTTTCTTTTTCATTTGCTGGTTTTCTCATAAAATATTTATGCGCATTTTTTGCTACTTGAATGGAACAGTTTTTTACTACTTTGAATAAATTTTCTTTAAATCTGATCAAGAAACTCGCACAATCAGTTAATCAAGAAAAAATTGTGCGCATATGTGCGAAAATCATTTGTATAATTAAGTTTCCAGTGGTTTGCACTTTAATTTTTTTAAGTAAAGGAACGAAAGAAGCTGAAACTTTTTAAAATCTTATTGTGTGTAGGCGCACGAATTTGGAAGCGCAGAGGACTCGTATAATTAAACTTTTGGATGAGAAAGTTGATCATGTCGTACTTCATGGTTTGGGAGCGTCCATTAGTCGCACAATTGATGTTGCATTACAAGTGCAGAAGAAATTAGTCAATACAGTAGATTTGCATGTTAAGACAGCTACTATTCGAGTGAGTTATTTCTTATATCGTGTTATCCTATTCGATTTGTAAGCTTGATTTATTTTAATTCTTAAACAACCTTAGATTCATGGATTCCTAAAAAACTTACTTTAGAAAATGAATACAGACTAAATTACTTCCGGAAACTCACTGACCTGAAAAACATGTGTGAAGTTGCAATTTTTTCAATAAACTGATCTGAACGGATTTTTAAATTATGCGATTATTATTTTCACATTATTTTTTTGGACTTAGTTCCTTTATATTGAAATTTATGATTCAAAAACGTGTAGTATTATGGAATGCTAAAAAATGTATTGAGAGTTATGTACTGTAAAAGTTATTCAAGCTTTTGTAGTCGCTTTTTCATATTCTTCAACCCAGAAGTGTCTTGTTTTCGTATTTAATGTGAAACACTTTTTAAGGTTACTGACAGTTTATTTCCTGTCCTTGACGAAGTCGATTTCAAAATGCGAAATCGCCTAATTTCTGCTATTTATATCTGTATAACACGGCGAACATCTTGAAGAATTTCTACTCATCGAGTATGAAGAAGTTGTTTGAACTACCACAACATTAAAGCCTTATATTATTTTTTCTTGAAATTTAATTCATTCGATCTATCTTTATCTAAAAATGTCTTTTTACTGCTTATTCGTTATTGATTATTTTATTTGTGTTGCATGTTATTTTAATGTGGTGCTGAAATTTTCCGTATGGGGTACAAATATTTCATTCATTTCTTTTGAAAATAAATATTACGTCTTTTATGCATTAAACATGGTTTTGAACTCCTTCAGCTATCATACTTAATTAGTTGAATAGGATTATTGCACTTGTTTTCTATCCACACCATGAATTTCGCGCTTAATGAATTCTGGAATGTGAAATGGGATGTCAGAAATACTATCAGAAATCTGGAACGATATGTTTCAAATGCCATACTAGAGAAATTGGATCTGTAAGGTGTTATTTGTTTTAGTTCCAATCAAGAGGAAACAGTTTGCAAGAGAGATGGTTCTGAGAAATCTGGCCAGTAATTTTCTCTCTCTTTCCCAAGTGAAATTTTTTCTACGTACTTTAGTCACATTTAGCAGACCTCCTCATATTGCTATCGTTGGCTCTGGACCAGCTGGTAAAATTTGAAACTTGAATTTATAATTAGTTAAGAAAATTACTGTTTGATGCAACATATGGCAGTCTTAAGTACCATAGCACAATGACTTCCATTAAGATTTTTGATTATCAATCATAAGCGTGAGGACTTACATGTTTACTTACTCATGAAAATCTTGCAATTGTATAGATAAACTAGTTTACTTTTGAGCAGCATCATGAAATGAAGTGCAATGTCTTGTCCTTTTTGTTTTTAAATTAAGGACAATTTAAAAGAAATTGGGAAAAAGAGTAGAACATAGTTGTCATTTTGACCAGGAATTGTTATAAAAAAAACTCAGGATTCTGAAGTAAACAGGTGCTATTTTCAGGTTTATATACATGTAGTGGAGTGCTGCGGAGGTTACGTGACTGTTTTGTGGACATATATGAAAGCAACATAGTACCGTTCGGTCTGTTACGGTATGGAGTAGCACCAGACCATCCAGAAATGAAGAATTGCCTCAAGCATTTTGACAAAATGTTTAGCGACCATGAGACAAAGTAAAATTAGCAAATTAAATAAAGTTTAAACTTCAGTAATAGGCTTTGACATTTTATAGTAAATTGCTTCTCCTTGTATGTTGGAAAATTTGTTGTAGTTGATTTATTTTTGTATCACCGACGACTGTGATAGATTCTAAGCATGTTTTAATTTTTTGTTTACTAACTTTTCACTCGAATTGCCTTTTATAGACTGAAATTATACTGTAATGTTTCGATTGGTCAGGATATCAAATTCGATGAACTTTGTTCAGATTATGATGCTGTTGTGCTTGCTTATGGTGCACGACGTCAAAGGCGATTGAATATTCCTGGAATCAATGCGAGAAATATTTTTTCTGGTGGCGACTTTGTATTTTGGTACAACGGAATGTATGGTATTACACCGCCAATTTTGGAATGCAAAGAAGCGGTGAAGAATTGTGCGAAATTTGGCAGAAATAAGAAAATTAATATATTACCTTTCAAAATGCTTTGGGTTTTTTTTCTTAATTGTATTGCTATAAATTTTAGGTCATCATTGGAAATGGCAATGTAGCTCTCGATTGCTCACGTATGCTTCTTTCTGCTGGAACAGATCGACTAATAAAAACTGATATCCCGACACCAGTGCTTGATATCCTTTCGCATTCTCAAATACGTCGTATAACTATTATTGGCCGAAGGAGTCCGCTTGATGTAAATTCAGTTTCAGACTAATGGAAACTTTGAACTTTGAAGTGCGTTTATCTAGCTCATAAGCTGATTTGTCATTGCAATTTAGGTATCTTTTACAATAAAAGAACTAAAAGAACAAATAACGCTACCAAATTGTTCATTTTCTGTGGAAATCGACGATCATGACAAATCTGCCATAGAAAATGCTAAACAATCGTTACCTAGACCAAGAAAACGTATTATGGAACTTCTCTTAAATAGTTGTAGTAGAAATATACCTCAACATGACCCATATTGCCAAATGTTATTTCGAAGAACGCCAAAACAAGTCAGTTTTCATGATTGAACTTCTCTTGTTCATTACTTAAGCTTCTCAAGTACTGTACAACTAGGGTATTGTCAAGTATATCCCACAGTATCTAATAAACGTATTGCTTGATTTGTATGTCTTCACATTCTAATTTATTTTTTATTATTTATTAGAATACTAGTCCTTTGATGTTCAGAAAATGGATAACTTTTAATCAGAATTGAGAGATGAAGCCGATATTGACTATTAAGGACTGATAATATGCAATATAGATGTGAAACATAGTTTTACTCTGTTTTGAATGAACTGTTACTATCACTGTTTTAGGTTTTGATGGACAGTCATGGGTTTGTCACCGCATTGCAGGTGACTCATTCGTTAAGTGAACAAGTAGAAAATCTACCTTGTGGTTTATTAATTTACTGTATCGGATTTGAAAATATGGCTTTAAATGGAATACCAACGGATGAAAATGGCCAAATTAAAATGCTTGACGCTTTTCGAGTAGCAGCCAATAGTAAATCTTTAGTTTATGCTACGGGTTGGTGCGCACATGCTCCTCGAGGAATAATTGCACATACCCAGGTCTGATGAGATTATTGTGCTTCAAAATTTTCACTTTAATATCATCCGATAGTTTCACGGAGTAGGTGTGATAATACAGGAGTGGTCAGTACGCCTTTGCCTTATTAACTACATATGTGTGTAAGTGAATTTCATATATACAAGTCTGTTCTTCAGATTGATGCTAGAAATGTTGCCGAACACCTCGTTTCTGACCTTCAGAAGCATGGTCTGAAATCTGAGGCTGTTATAGGTTCAGAGGAGCGATTACTAAAAAATAGAATTAAGTACCTAACCTGGAAGGACTGGAAGAAAATTGACGAAGAAGAGAGGAGACTGGGTGCTATTAAAGGCAAACAACGTGAAAAGTTGCATAATTTTAGAATTTTCTGTGAAAGCCCGTAAAATTACTTAAGCTCGACTTTTTCAAAATGCTCATTATTACTCACGCTTTAATTACATTTCAGCTGAGCGTAGAAGAAAAGCAATATCTGGTCAATTGTTCTGACTTAGTTAAGCTGCAAAAAGCTTTTTTATCGAATATTCCGATCTTTGAAAGAACAGATATGAATTAGTATACAGAGATAAGACGAAAATGAAAATAAAACATTGAATAATTCTTCTGAATTACAGTCTCAAAATGCTGGACATTTCGCAATACATAGATTCTCAACTTACAAAAACTACGTATTTTTTTTCTACAACAAATCGAAATTTAATCGCTAAAAAGTTATACGTAAATGAAGACACTTATTAATAAACAATAAGTGACAAAAAGGAGATGATTTCTAAACATTCAAAGCAATCTTTTTTATAAGTACTCAGGTCTACTAAATGGTACAATTACATTACTAAAAGTATCTAGAACATGCATTATAGATGATCGCTCCAAGTTCATTCTATACATTATGTCCTCGATATGATGTTCTCCACACAAGTAAGGCACCAGTCTGAAAACATATTTTGAGATGAAGTTATACAATCAAACGACTGATTCGTCAAGAACAAACTTCAAAAATAAGGTGAGCATGTCTTTGACAGAGCGCAGCGACTGTCTTGCTAACATTGTTCTGCACACATCGATGACAGGGATTTTTATCTCAGGTTTTAGAGTTGAAATTGACAGTAGCTGATTCAAGCTTTCCTCTTGTAGTGTATTTTGAGAAGATGCATGCCTTGAATTAGAAAGAGATAAACGATCGTGGCTAAACCGAAGTGTTATTTAAGTAGGAGCAAACTCAAAAATTACAAGCATAATGAAGAGAATAACTGGCTAATTGAAAACGAGAAGTAATGAAGTAATATTAACTGGACATGCATACACTCAATAATTTTTTAATGAAGTTTCTCACTTTAATATAAAACGAAACGTTAACGGTAGCAATGTTGGATAGGACGTGACGGAAGTCTGTAAATTTTTTACAAGGATTCATGAGGAAAAAACGGACAAGCGATATCGTATGTTTACAATTAAAGTAGAGTGGTTTTGCTACTCAAATAAGAAAAACCAACACATTTACTGTTCCATGTGATGATGGTGGCATTAAGTATAGGAATGTGTGAAGTTGCATGACAAGTTCATCCCGCAGCAGCCGTACAACCATTCGTATTCGACGTTGCTGAAGTATTTGATTCAAATTTTTATTTTCTTAATTCAGAAAAAGCTGGCGACTGAATTTTGATAAAAGGTAATTCAAAAACGAATTTTGTACAAGCGTATTAAGACTGAAACTAATTCTTATTTCTGCATCATTTACAGAAGTTATATGATCGAAATAGGATTCAAAGTACTGCTGTAATTTAACATTGACTTTCATGGAACAGTGATTAAAGGAGAAGCATAATTTGAATAAGATCATTACTCTGAAGTTGTGTTTCTCTAACCAGATTTATTAATGATAATAAATAAAAATTTGTCGTCTAAATGATTCTCAACTCCAATCCATGATGAATTCTAACATATTTTGATTATAAAAATAAAGTCTAATTAGAAGTTAGGGCTGAAAAAGTCCTGAAAAACACCAACTAGTTATATACCTGTTCACTGTAGCTATAAACTGCAGGATTAATAAATTCTCCTAATGTAGAAGGTGGTGAGAACTGTGCTAAGATGGTGGGCAAATAAGCATTCTCAAAAGTTTCGCCAAACTGTTCTGTTAGCCTGAAATAAAATGATTATCATGCCTTCCATGCTTTCAAAATTTTTTAATCCGCATAACTAATAACTCTTCCATACAGATAATTTATATTCATAATTTGTATTCTGATATCTATAATAGCAGAAAACATTTTCAAAATGCATAACCTCATTATTAGTATGCGGATTAAAAAATTTTGAAAGCATAACCTCACTTTTAGTCATGAGTTGATTAGCTAGCTAGACTAATGTTCCTTTTTTAATTAAGTTTTTTTCTTTAATTCTTCTAAGAGACAATATTTTTTTAAAGAAGTTCTGTCAATCATCAAATATGCAGTTAAAACAATTATTTTGTTAAAGTAAGATCAATGTAAAAGTATCCCATGCAACATTCATAATTAATACATGTTACAATATTAAAAAATGATATTCAGTAACTAGTCACTCACTTCATTAACGGTTTCGGAGATGTAGCAGAGGTATAAATATTTGTACTGCACAATGGATATATGATAATGGCACGTATCCACAGCAGCAAATGTCTAACAATAGAAAGAACTTGAAACAAAGTAAGGCCTGATGAATCACTGATACCAACTAGACTGAAAAATGAAGTAGTATTACGATGGATACTTTCCTGATCTAATTATCTATTCCTTAAAAATCCTGAATAATTCGCTAAAACACTTAATAATTTTATGAACCTTTGATCAGGATGACAGTACTTCAAGAAAAGATTTAACGCTGGGTTAGAATCATGTCCTGGCAACGCATCTTCTAACAATAAAATTCCGTGATAAGGCCGCAGTCGTCGAATCGTTTCTTCAACTTCCATTCTCAATAGAGGCTTATGATGTTTCAGTATATTCTCGTGCACTTTTCCAATAACGAGTAAACAGAATGTTATTTGAAATGTGAAAAAATTCACATTCTAAATAAACATACTTGGTTTTCGGAGTAAGTCCTGCATGTAACAATGCACGCGGTTCGACGCAAAAACCCACTTCAAGCCAGTCGTTTAGAAAAACGTGGACTACGCCGTACTCCGTAACATCATTAAATATATTTCGGAGATCTTTTGCCAGTGAGCAATGCGCCAGAACTTGATGATAAGGAAGTGATTCCTCTTAATTTATGTTGTAGAATGTAATAAAAAGATATATATTACATTTAATCTGATTTAGAACACATCAACACAAAATATTTCTGCTTTATGAGTTTTCAATTAACTAAGAAAATATTTCTAGCCTACCTTCTGGTAGAGATTCATTCTTTTCATGCTCAATCAACATTCTTGTCATCTGTTCGGCTAAATAACCACAGCGTGTTTGCTCCTCATCAATCGCAATAGCAATTTTCCGACTAAAATATAAATATTTTCACAGTAAATGGAAATGTAAAGCTAACAGATTCATTTTTTATATTTTATAAAGCGAAATTATTCTGCAATATGAAAAATCACTAGCATGATTCATGAAAAGCACACAATTATAAAATAGACCTCAGATTTTGAAACGAAGCAACAAGGTGAGCTGATGCGTTAGCAATCAGAACAAAAACAACATGAAATGTTTGTGGAGAACGCGCGGTAGGATTTGTTACCTTAAAACTTGAATATGACTGCTTTTTAAAATACTTTATTTTTTGGTAACCGAAAAGAAATAGAACAAGAATATGAAAATAGAAACATTTAAAGGATTAATGAATTAATAATCTGGATGCGGATCTCCTTTATGAATGCACAATAGTCGAAGATAAAGTTAAAAAAAATGATAAATTAAAAAGATCTAACAGTTTTAGGATATCCAGCAAATCGGATATTATCAATCTTGATCTCAAATGGTTTTTCACCGATTCCTCTAGCAGAAAGTAAGTGAGCAAGAATTTTTGTTGGAATACTGAAAATTACACCAATCTCATCCTTATATTACTGTTAACATTATTTCAGAAAGGGAAATTAGTAAACTGAAAATATAAAACGAAACTACAACGGAAACTACCCGTATTGCTCAACATCATTTTTAGTTCGCTCACTGATACAACCTGCAGATGACCTGAAAATTACAAAAAAAAAAAAGCGGAAATGATATTAATAGAACATAAAAATTTCAAATTTCGATAGACAAGAAACGGTATAAGATAGCTCTACTTATGCTAACAATGTAATGAAATCAGAATAATATAATACAAAGAGTGAAATTAATTGTATTTACTCAAATGAAGTTCGTTTCTGACACGGCGATAACGAATGTGATCCTAAAAAATTACTGCGAACTTTTCTGAACTCCTGCACGGTTTCAATAAAAATTTAAAGCAACTTTGCATCCAACGCACAAAAAACTTCTTTTTACTTTATCACTGAAAAGAATAACAGAATGCTCTTGAGAAAATCAAATTTCATACAACATCGAAAAAATGCAGTACCAGGAAATGGATATGCAAACGAGACTTGCTCATGGTTTTCCCCCATAGTTACAAACATGATTCCCAACGGTGAGTACATACACTGGTCCCTATCCATGAATTTGAGTAGCCAACTTTATCAAGTAAATCTGAAATTATGACCCTCCAATTCATTCACTAGACTTCAGAATATCGTCATTTGCAAACTCTAATATCGAACTTCAGGTCAACAACAACCAAAACTTGCTCAATGAATAAATTAGATACAACAAAATCCCTTTAACCAACAATTGCTTCCCTCCAGCAAATGACCTCTACTGGATTCCTTGCATCAAAATGACATGATGTACTTCAGAATACAGCTCTTTCCAAGTTATAGAGAATGAAACAATAATGAATAAATTTACTATCCCATAGCAAAAAAAAGTCCCAGCCATACTTCAAGCATTTATTTGAAATTTCCATTTCATCTCCAACTTACATGCTGCAAACTCTCTAACCATACACTGCGATGCTTTTCAAATTATTACGACAATGCGCGATCGATGAGAAGGAAACAATAAAATCCGTATGAGAAAGTGAGTTACTGACATATTATGATTTTCAAGTCTAAAAACATCAGTCGAGATATTACTTTGTTTATAATGCAAGAGATAGTATATATTTATCGGGAATAAAATCGATTGAAAAATGTTCCTCATTCACAGTAAACAAATTAATATCACACACTTATGAGATCAAAAACTTTTCTTGTATTCAATTTAGTTTTGCTGTATCTTCCAAACAATGAGTGAACTGAACACCACAGTGAATGAAAATGGATGCAAAACGATTAAATAATATCCGAAGATGATAAACATATTTTGCGTTTGTAGCCTTGGTATTCTTAACTGCTGCCTTCACTATCGCCATCATCTCTGTATATTTTTGGTCTTGTTAAGTCGATTCCTTTTCTGAAAACAATGTAAAGTCATGCTCAAAAAATTGAGTATGAGAGCCGCGGAATAAAATTTTTAATTGAGGAAAAAATATTCCTGTAAATATGCTCGCAACAATTTAAATTTGCTGTATGACTAGTTATTGAGGCAAAAATAAACATGCAATTACAAACATGGGTGAAAAAAAATCTATTATACAACACATAATCATAAGTCTGCACTTGAGAAAATTTTTACTAATCATTTACAGATTTTAATGATGATGATTAAGAAAATTAGTATACCATGTGAACATCAATTTGTAGAGCTAAAATCAAGGTATCATAATTTTTTGAGAATATAAACTTACTTGTCTAAAAAGTTCATTAATTGATGTACAGTAAATTGCTCTCCTAGAAGTTTCGAAAGACAAACAAAATTACCAATAAGTACATCATTCCAGAATACTTGTAACGTAGGAAGAGCATTCATCTCCTGAATCAAAAAATTAATGTCATGATAATAAGAAGACAGAATTAATTTTAAAAATAATTCCAAATATAGCAGAAGCGAGAGCAAATCAATTCCCATACCAGAAATTATGCACTTATAAGTTTAATAAAAATTTTTCCAACTAAGAACAAAAATTTCTTGCAAAAATATTTATAAGTAATTTAAATGTGCTGATTAACCATTCTAATTTAAGAAAAGATCGTGAGCAGCCATAAACATAACAGCTGAAAAAAATGTATCTATGGTATAACATACGAAACGAGATGACATATCAAGCACTGACGGTAAAACTTTTGCCAATTTCACTGTTGGATAGTTTACAGCTAGCGTGTTGAAAACTTTATTCAGTGTTATACAGCCGTCATTACTGTTACTATAAATATGAATAAGAACCCAAACATCTCGGTTTGACTCAGTAAAGTCAAGATATTGTTCCTTTTTTATAAATTCTTCAATCTGCAAACAACAATGTTGTGTTTCATTTTATTGTAACTCCCTATTGGTAAACAAAACTAATAGCTTTTGAAAACTGCTTCTGAAGTGAAGGAAAAACTAATGAAGAGTTTAGAAACAACTTACTTTACCTTTAGCGCATAAACTCTCCTGCATTTCAGTTAGCCTTCTTCTTCTGAACTCTTCTAATTCACAATTTAAGGGTTCATTCAGAGTGCAGTACTTGGCTTGTTGTACAATCTAAAATAACAGACAATTACACTTTCGGAAACACTAAACATGTTTCTTTGTAATATAAAGTGTTTAATGGATATTTACTGCCCACTGATATATCAAATAAGAGATTAAACATCTAGCATGTAAGATCTAGTAAATACAGGATTGCTAATATTTACTGCTACACATTGCGGCAATAAAACTGAACAAAACTTGACCAGTTCATACTGTTGTTGTTCGTCCTTTTGAGTCTGCGTTTTGTATAATTTATAGTCTGCTAAAACGCCTTTCGGTCCTGTATTATGTGTGTTTCTATGTAATGACTTCTTGCCCAAATTCGTTTTTTTGTTGTCGCATATTGTTGAATGATTTTCACATTCTATTTTTTCTTCATCGCTGCTACTACAATATCCAGGCGACTCACCAGACAACAATTTAGCCTCTAAATCTGCCATAACTGAAAAAAGTGATTTACTAATAAGAAACAGGAATATTAATCTAAAGAGCATGAACATGAAATGGTAACCATACCAGTAGTGAGTAATGAGCTGTTGATTTATTGATACTATAAAACTATACGAAATCTTGCGAATCGACACCTAAGAACTGGAGACAAGCAGTTAGTGATAAGCACTACCAATGTATTTCATTTCCAACTTTACTGCGAATTGAGTCTAAACCTGTGACATACTAGATATGTGCCCAGCAATTCTTAAAATTTGAAAGTGCTCCGATTATTGATCGTGTTTCACTCGGGTGGCGGGAGTATTAGGGGAAGAATAGTAGAACGGAATTTCTTGGTTATTCAACAAAATTTTTCTATGGGAATTAAAATCGTTTAGCCTAGTCTTGTTAATCGTAAATAAACATAACATTGATATTGGCTTTAGTTTCACATTATCTTCCCTTTCCAGTGACGTATTTAAAAGCTGACAGTAGCAGAAGAGTTCAAATCTCAGAAATAATTTTAGGGATAAAGACAATGCAGAAGATTGTTTTTAAAAGCATTTTAAAATGTTTGAGTGAGATATTAAAATTTTGTTACAGTACATATTGCACTTTGCAATAGCAGTAAAGGTTTGGGGTTTGTTCCAGAACTATGCGTATTTATCTGAAGGGTTATTTCAGAATGGAGTTAGAAAGAAGTCAATGTGAAAAGTACCGCAAGTTTGCTACAGAGAGATTGCAAAATGATTATGAGCAAATCATCAAAGTAATAAATAAGATTATGGATGAAGTGAAAGAATATGAAGCTTTACTACTTTTCATTAATAAAGCTAAGGTTAGTTATTATTATTGTTTTGCCATCGTGTGGGTTAAGTACTTAAAATTTTAATTAACCTTATTTTTTGCATTTATTTCTTATCGTTTTGCAAATTAGTATAATAATTCTGTATTTTAATTTCGTGATCTAAAATCGTGCCATTTTAGATCACTTTTTTGATTGATTATTTTTAATCAAAATACTTCAGTCACTGGATCCTAATCAACCGCTAAAGATGCAAATAAGTATTGGTAAAAATGTTTTTTGCGAAACTGTTATGTAAGTTTACTAGCTTTTTTAGAGCTTTCGTTTTCAAATATATTTATAATAAATAATGTGTAAACTCATGCTGTTGTGAGTTGTGTTATTCTCACGTACGTGCTAAACTGTTGAATTTGATAAAAAGTTTCGTCATACTCTATTTGTTATTATTAATGTATTGAAATTTGACTAGGAATTTTTCATGTAGTGATAAATGGGATCACATTATCGTAAGGCTAAGCGATGATGTGTTTGCGGAATTAACCATGAAAAGAGCAGAAGTAAGTAAATTTGGTTATGTAGGGGTCTGTCGAGTTTCTTCAGTCTTTTGTTTGTGATTTTGTTTTTAAAGATGGTAATTTCACTTTTTATCTGACAAAAAATTCAAATTGAAAGATTAAGTCAAGTAATGCTCAATACTACGTATCTTTATAGTTTCTATTCTTATTTTCTAGGAATTTGTTCCCAAGAAAATTGCATTATTAAATGAACGTGTTACCTTTCATGAAAACCAAGCCTATTCAATACGTGCAAGAATTCATTTGATATTATCTTCAGTGAAACAGCTTGAAAGTTTATAACTTCTCGTAGGGTAATAGTTTTGTTTCTAATATTGTTTCCCATGTTTTCGGTTTTTGATTGGATGATTTTTAAACATAATGTTCCTCACAAATTTCGCATTAAAAATATATGACGTTAATTTTTTGAACTAACAGCAAAATGTATATTTCAAATGATAGTAGTACAGTCACTTATTTTTACTTATACATCTGTTTCAGAGGCTCCACTCTAGATGCTTAAGTTGCGTGCAGTATAAAACGGAGTGTATATTTAAAGTACTTTTACAATGTGTAGTTTTTTAATGTGCATTCACCTTTGAAATATATGATTTCCTTTTTAAATTGAAATCGTGGTTTACATGGCGTTAAAAACGATCATATGTTCAATTTGATTTTATGACGAAGTCCATTGCATTCAGTACGTGCACCAGAAATTACTGATATTGCAGGTTCAATGTCCCAATAAGGGACATTATTTTCAATCATTATGAGTGATTCAAATGAATTTATTAAACATTTAGGAATGAAATCTATAACTTAGGAGGCACATATGAAATAAAGAAAAGTATTATTTCTCTTTATATTATTTTGAATGTATCATACTCAAACTCTGCAGTGTCTCTAGATTTTTTATCACTGAATTTTTTAGTTAAAATAATGTGTCTCGTACAGGGCTGCAAAAATAATCATTTATACTTCATGAGCTGTTTATTTTTGCTAGTCTATATGTATTTTAGATTGCTATTTGAAGTTTTCAAAGTTTCTCTTATTGTTTGATGAACATCGTCAATGAAATTTGTTTATGAAACTATATCGCCAGAATCGTTGTTATTTCGATATATTTTCAATTTTTTTAAATCTACGTTTATTTTTTCACATGAAAAGAAAATGTTTGTCGGAAATCACCTTGTCTTCATTTCTAACTTTTTTCTAGAAAAAAATGTTTTCAGGTAGTAGATGAAGAAAACTCGAGCAATTCGTGAGGGGACAGTTCGCAGGTGTTTACTTTTACGTCACTCCAAAGCTGCTAATTCATTCTCAAATGATATTGTTTACATTTTGACACAGATTGTGAATGATATTGTGAAAGAGATAATGTTGAGGTTTGCTTTTGTGTTTGTAGTATTGGAATTTGCTAATTCATTGTAATCGAGACTAATTGCATTGCTTGTCCGAGTGTCCAAATGAGGATTATAGCTTTCATATATTTCAGAATATTCATTTTACATGATCATATTTACCTTGCTAAACATTTCTTCATTTAAAATATTCATTACATATGTGCAATATACTGTAGTGTAGAGCTTTGACTAGTTTGACCTTCATTGACTAAATGTGTTAGGAATTTGTTTGTGGGGCAGTGATGGATTTTATTTACAGTGCTCTTAGTTGGATTCAATTAAACTAGCAGTTGAATATCAAATTTTTAATATTTAAAATCTTAATATTTAATATTTTAATATTTTCGGTGTTCAGGAGTGCTTCCAATGCTCAAGAAAATTGTTCAGAGCGAGTAGAGTTGGAAAATTTGTACAGAATTTTGCCGCAGTCATTTACTGATTTCAATTTGTGAATTTGTGATTTTGAATTTCGTTTTATGAACTGGTAAAAATGCAAAAGATATTCTTGTTTTTATAATACTGTCTTTCCCATTTTGTGCAGTTCGTTAATTCGTTGATATCATAGTACATATCTTCGTCATAAAATTTCATTTACCTGGAACAATGTTTATTTTCATTTCAAGTATTCGGTACACTCGTATATTTAAATATACAAATATTACAGCATGACTGCAACGTAGGTTGCCATTCTTATTCTTATTACTTAAAATGGTTCTTATTGCAAATTAAATTTTAACTTGGTGTAGATTGTACCAAGCGAACTAATAGGGAACGAACGAGATTTAGCATGACAGAACTGTTGCTTGATCCAGCGATTCGTACGTGGGTTTTTTTGCCGGTGATATTAATTACATTTCTGGTGGGAGTGTTACGTCATTATGTGGCTTTGATATTTACAAGCAGGAAGAAATTGGAATTGCAGCAAGTTCAAGATAGGTTATTCCAGTTTCTTATTCTAGTTAATGGGTCGTCATGTTATTTTTCACTCAGTTTTGATGTACAGTGAATATTGAGTTTTTGTGGAATTTAGATATTATATCTCTTGCAACATTGATCTGTACATGCTGCTTTAGAATACTTCCAGTGGCTTTGAACTCCACTCATTTTGTGTTTAATTTTTAACTAGATTTTTGAACGATTTTAAATGATAAAGGTCGAAGCACTTTGTAACGCATTTGAAGACTTTCATTTCCAGTCAGTATTTGATTCGCTCACGTTTACTACGAGAAAATGGCAAACTTTTACCGAAAGCATCTTTTAATATGCGAAAGAATTTTTTACTGAATGAAGAAAGTGGTTATATAACAAAGGTTTTGATCTATCATTTCTATATTAGATATTGCCGAGAAATTGTTTGGTTTACTGACTAAATCTTTTACATATAATGAATCTCCTGGGTGCTCACATAACTAATCTTGTGAATATAGTTCAATATGTTTACATGTGTGATACACTGATAGTTCCACCATAATTAATTCAGTGTACTTGTCACTTAATTTTTTTAACGTTTTTTTAAAAAATGTTTTTGGGGTATGGAACGACCAACTCAAATACAGAACCCTATGGCTGATCCGACAATGATGACGGATATGTTGAAGGTTGTTTTCGCAAACTTTTTATAAATACAGATTTTAAAAGACAAGTTCTGCAACTGCAATGCTAGTGAACTGTATTTCATCATATTTCACAATTTTACATATGAAATTAAGTACGTAAATTTAACATGTAACGTCAGTAAGTTATTGTTGAATTGAATGAGTGCATTTCAGGGCAATCTGCTCAACGTCTTACCAATGATTGTTATCGGTGGTTGGATAAATTGGACGTTTAGTGGTTTTGTGACAACTCGAGTCCCTTTTCCTCTAACACTGCGTTTTAAACCAATGCTTCAAAGAGGCAAAAAATTAATATGTTCATTCGTTTTGCATTTCTATTACGTATGCGAGAAAATTGTAATGACACATCAGAAATAATTCTAATGTAGAATGATTTTTGCAGGAATAGAACTTATATCACTGGATGCAGCATGGGTATCTTCTGCTTCGTGGTACTTCTTGAATGTTTTCGGCTTACGGGCAATTTATACTCTGGTTTTGGGCGAAGATAACGCAGCTGACCAGTCCAGAATGATGGAGGAGCAGATGAATGGCGCCGCAATGGCTATGCCCCAAGATCCTAAGCAGGCCTTTAAAGCGGAGTGGGAAGCTCTCCAAGTGACGACACACCAATTTATCCTTAGTAAGTAATAGCAAATTATAAAAACTTCAGTTAAGCCCCATACTTATTTGCTTTGACACTATATGCTTATGAATTTTGTGTAATATCGTTTTATTCAGTTGACTCTTTAGGATATTATTTTATTTCAGAGTGAACGTGTAAAGTCAGGAATAGAAGGATATTATTTGTTTTGCCTCTGGAAATCGTCGCAAGTCGAAAATTCGTTCCGATAAGGATTCCCGATTCCTTATAAAATGATTTATTGTGATTTAGAATAACTATTTTTAAATGTAATTTAATAGTATTTTGAAATACGCATAAATAGTGTATAACGCTTGTAAAAGTAATTAAATGTATGTGTTGTAAATACCACTCGAACTTCTCAGTGAATTCATTCTTTCATTTCATGGAGACACTGAAAAGTTTGATAAAGATATGTTAATTCGACATAGTTCGGACTCCATGTATTTTTAAATGATTTGCAATAGTTACTTGATGTGTTGCCTGTGATGTTGATTTGTTGGATGCGTCAAGAAAATTACGGATAATCGAAAAAATTGATCCTTGTTACTTTCCACATCCCAAGTGGATTTAGAATTCTAGATAATCTGAAGACATTGTTTTTAAGGGTTGGTTTATAATGTTAGTGCTATCCTCAAATTCTTTATGAGCTATGATAGAATATATATAGTCAGAATACGTCCCATATTATTTTTACTGCTCATCCCTTCGATTTTTTCCAGTTTTCCTGAAATGCCCAACTGGTTGCAATATCAAGAAAATGTCAAGAAGCTAGTGCATTAGACAATTAACTTACGTAATGTTACATATGAGTAAACTTCTCCGAGGCGAGGTTCGTAGCAACTGTTCAATATTCATATTTTGATCTATATTGCTCTTCTTGATATAGATAATAACTTGTGTGTAGAACGCTCGATGCTTCAATGGAAGAAACGAACGTACCCCAGACACTATAATATTGGAGTTTTAGAGAACTTCGTGGTCACATTTTTAGAACTAAGCCACAAATAAAGTGAGATCGGCAATTTAAACTTTTTTGATAATAAGAGCTCAGTGATAGTTTGAAGCAATATGACGTGGAAATCTGCATTAAAATTTTTCAGGCTAGTCAAATCTGCATTTATGGAGAAAAACAGTTACTATCCACACGAACATGACACAGAGAAGTGTGCTCATATTTGCTTCTTTGCTCTGCAATCACAGAAACTTGTTCTTTCACTTTCTGACTGCAAAACTTTTTATTTTCACGCACGTATATAATTTTTGAAACTGGAATTCACGTTTGATAAATTTAAGAAGGAAATAAAAAACTCACCACCAGGTTGTAGTTTGCCACACGTGTAAGAAGAATCGATGACCGAACAAATAACATCATCTAAAGAAAATTTTAGACGTTCCAAACACTGATCTGACGAACTAAGTCTCGCTTGTAGTTCAGAAACACAATCTTCCACCATAATTCTTCTCAAATTGCTCCAGTCTTTGCGTCGAATATAATCGCCACATAATATGCTTGCCTCAAAACAAGCCTTTTTCACTTTAGGTGCAAAACCACTAATTAACCAACATGGAGTATAACATTACAGTTTCAGTTTATGAAATCATCTCCCGTTTTCTAGAATTTATAACAATTGGAGCTTACAATACTATAAATTACTGATATGGTATATGATACCTGCACTGCACCGCTCAGAAAACTTTCTACACTGAACTGTTTTTCGAAAAAATATCGGTACCGAAACTGTGCAAGAACATTTCCCAATCGTCGACTTAAGTCAAAAACTGGTATGATGCATTTTTTCTCTTCCAACAAAACAAACGGCTTGCTATCATTTTCCGCTGGTCCCTCTTTTGATATCTGAAATATGAAATGCACATAAAAGTACAATATTGAAGCAGTTTTTATTGCGATAATTGTGTTAGTGTAATTGATAACAAGGATATACTATTTTAATTATCTAATAAAATTATTAGAAAATGGAAAATATTGAAGATAAATTGAATGATTCTAACAGCAGTAATTTCCATTAAGCAAAAGTAAATTGGATCAAAATATTATCAAAGACCCGAAATGGAAAGTAAGAAAAGACATGGAGTGCACGCCTTGTATATCATATCAGTAATCTACAGTATTATTTTTATCACAGTAATAAAACTCATTACAATAATATAAAAATAATTGTTTAGAATTGATTTCATGAATTGAATTCACAAGTTTTAGATAACATTTTGAAGAGAAATTAAATGATTGATTAAATGATATAATTATTGACTGAGCGAATCAAAAAAGCAAAAGTATGGCAACAAATTACTGAAACAAAAGAATGAATACAAAAGCAATAACAATAAGCGAACATGATAAATAACGCTAATAAGAACAAATGAAAGAATGAAAATGAAAAAGTTACCAGTTGAGAACTGCAAAGAGGTTGAGTTATGCTTGAAAATCGTCCCACTAAGATGCAGTTTTTGATTGCTGTACGCAGCATACTTCCCTCAAACATTCCCACCGAAAAGCGTTAAATCATAACGGTGCCACTTCTGCGTTAAATTTTGACAGTCATATTCTGTGCATCTTTTTGATTCATTTTACATCACAAATACATTTCAGGGCAAAATTTGGCTCATAGCAAGTCAACGATTCATAATTTTATTCAGGAAATATTAGTCATAAGTACTGGCAAGCTTAATTAAAAAAATATTAATTAAATCTTTGCAAAATTACAACTGACAAATCACTCCGCATTTTATACAAAATTATTTTCTTACGGTTAAGTTATTAGTGAGACAATAAAGATAGAGAAAAGAGAAGAGAGTAAGGAAAATGAGGAAAAGAAAGAGAAAGAGGGAGGTAGAGAGACAAGTGGGAAGGAAAAGAAGAAAACTGTCGTATGTTAATAGATTTATTGATATTGCTGAGAAGATTTGATCTCACATGAATGCTTGAGCTCTTCAGAATAATATTATGTGTACTTCGCATTGAGTAATATAGAAGTGAATTCGGAAGAAGAGAGAAGCAATCAGAAAAATATGCTAAATCAGAGAAGGGGAGGGAGGGAATAAATGGACTATCACACATGCATAATATTGCTTTTAATCTCAGTTGTTCAACTTACCCACCTGCCATTCCTGCAACTTTTGAAGTATTTGACCTTTCTTACGATTTGACCTGCAAGGTCGCACATATAAAGCGATAATATATCATATCAGACTTTGAGCAAGTTTAAACGTGTTGATTGGTAGTTTGAAGCTTTGCTTAGTAATAGAACTCCTAAGGGCGGCAAAAATATTCAATTTGATTCTTGGCAACAGTAATTATCATATCATTCGCCTTTTACGTATCCTTTATTTTTGATTATTTATTTTCTGTAGTATGTTGGCATGAGATTTACTTGCTAATCTCGCATGACAATTACTCATAAAGATTGGATAACTTCTAGAAACTTTGTCAAAACTGCTCCAATATACATTCAAAGTTCCTAACAACTGCAACAGATTGCTACAATATTAATTGTATTCGTACATTCTTCTCACAAGCACACCACTGATAATATACAGTCTGAAAAGCTTCAAGACTTACAAAATGAGAAACTGCAAATGTCTGATTATGCTATTCGAGCACGACTTCAAAAAATACCTTTGATTGCATTAAATTTTCCTGAAACCTTCAACTATGCGTTAATTCATATTAAAGCCCGCCTGAAGTTATATCATCAATATAGAAGGATCATTATTAACTTGTGAATCACGAAGAAGCCGTAGTGAAAAAATGCTAACAAGTAACGACAAAATGAAGTCAGTCTCAGTTGAATTTTTTATCACATCAAATTATAAGTCAAGAATATGCATTAGGTATATGCAACCGAAGAAATAAAAAGCAGAAAAGTTAATATTCGTTTGTGATTCATTGATTCTGACGGCAGATTGTATTCTACCAGTGACTGTATTTGCCGCACGCTCAGTTCTGTTTCTGTCTCCGTTGTTTCGTCTTCGTCGATTCCACGACGATGATCGATGGAATACTTTCGAGCGATTTCTTGAGCATGTCAAGACATATGCAAATTACGTTAATTGGATATATGCCTCGACGTGGTCAGATATACTAATCTCCTTCGCGTAATGTTCATGCAAGTTTGTTACAATCCCATCCCAAATCATCACATACGGACTTGGTTTCGTCTTTTATTTCATCGCTAACCCGAGTTTATCAACGAACATATCATACTTCAGCCTTTTCTCGGTCTCGACTGTTATCACTCTGTCTTGACTAGTGATGCCAATCTCTGTCAGAAGTACTTCTGCTGCTTCTTATCGCGGATCATGATATCCAGTCGATCCGCACTTATCTGTAGAGCTGTTCTTACCGCGCATCGACTATGATCTGTACGTTCTCATTCGCCACAATTTCCTGTAAAGAGTATTTCAATAGTTACAAAATTATGATGACCAAAACATTGAAAGTTTATAGCGCTGGATATTTACTTTTTCCACGATAATGCAGACATTTCGAGACATAATTTAGGAAAGTATAAATATTCTTGAAATTGGGTTTGATGTTAATAAACCTCGACCTTGTTAATTAAGTTGCAACACATGCATTTAGGTCTAATTGTAATTCGGATGAGGCATAACGATATAAAGAAATGTCGAAATATTATGGCGAGAAATAAGCAGCTTTTGTCAGTTATAATTAATGTAAATTAAATTTTTGCCAAAAATTTTTTCTCCAACGAAAGCTTTTCAAAATTACAGTCTCATAAGCTGTAAATTTGCAAAAATAATCATCTTGGAAGATCAGCAAAGCACAAGAGTATGTCAGCATAGGTTTCGGATTGTAACTTTTACGAATGGGAGTTCACGATTGAAATATCTCCGAAACTAAACTTGATTCATTTTGAAAACAAATCTGAGCAAAATATTGCAAAGATTTTCAAATCAAGCACCTTAATGTAGTTTCAGGGAAAAATTAAATTTAAAAAAAGCAATTCTTTGCTTCATTTGGGAATTTACCATCAAGTTTTTAAATTTTGTATGCTTTTTCGCTGCAATACGCACACACACACTATTCAATTGCGCGAATAATATTTTTGACGAAGTTGACTTGTTTGTATAATTTGGTAATTGTTTGGTGTGGTAGCAGTAGTTACTATATTGGTATTAAGTAGTTGGGAATAACTTTTGGAGGGAAGTTGTCAATGCTCTAAGTCATTAAGTGTAATAATTATGCAATAAACTCGTAAATTTTCGAAGTTTTGCAAGCAAGAAATATACGTAAGTCACCATAGGTATAGAGTGCATAATGGATAATTTTTGATATATCAAATCTGTATTGTATGCGAGAATTGCAGGAGAAAGTATTATGTCACAGTACCGACATGTTTCTGCCAGTTATTTATCCGGCAGTGAAGACGATGACAAAGGAAGTAAGGATGTTACCGACTTCTACATTTATAATTTCTATAAACGATTACATGAAGATTGAGATAACAATAGTAATATATTCTTATTGACTTAAGAAAACCGGAGAAAATCGCGTTATCGTAGAATAATTATCAGTGATTCATCCAGCGAAGATTATGACGGTAGTGATGAAGATGTAGAAGATGAACAGTTGCAATCTTTTACAAGTGATAGTGATATTATTGATAGTATTCGGTAAGTATAATTGTCATTTTATTAGCATTATTTTTGATATTCAGTGTTTCTACTAAAGACATTATTAACCAAAATTTGTGTAATGAATTTTAAATTATACTTATAAAGCTTATTTCTGTCAAGCAGATTTACCATATATATTTCTGTAGAAATTTTTTAATTTCTTTGAATGTTAAATACTATTTAAATTTATGAGACCCGGAAGGATTTTTATTTCGGTAAGGAAAATTAGAGGTCTGTGATTTCCTAGAAATAAATGATGAACTTGACATTTACACAAAAATCTGATTTTTTTACGATCAATTTTTGAAACCAATTCTGATGTTTTTGTTTTTAAAAATTTTGTTTACTGATAATGACCATGATATGAACAAAATTGTCAGAGAGATGAATAAAATGTTCAAATTGTTGTCCACGAAAAAGTACCGACAATATCCGGTTGAAGATGAAAGCGAAGGAGACTTTGATGAAGATACTTATTTGGAAGATAGTTTCCTAGTCAAGGATTACAGTTCTTCTGAAGGTTTTATTTTGAATTCAGCTGTTCAGTATTAAGAAGAGTACTAGAAATTGTCACTGTATTTGAAGCTGACTCTCAGATATCATGATATAGTAATTTTTGTCAGAGAATTCATCGACTTCCTCTAGTGGTCCAAAATTTGTGGAAGAAAAAATAAACTCAGTAGTCAGTCATTGCCATTCAAAAGGATCACTTAAGAAGGTAAGCCATTATCAGCAAAAGTATTCGTATCTTCTGAAACATTTGGTTGTACTATTATAAGATTATTTTCTCTTTGATATTTCGTAGTTATGGTACTCCACAATTGGTTACTGTTCCTTCAGAATAAATGATGTATTAATTGTTTCAGACCAGACAAGATAAAGATGAAACTTTCCTTTTGGCTCTTTCTCCGAATGGGCCACCTCATTTTGAGGCTGAAAACTACAAGAAAGCTAAATTTTCCCAAATTAGACAAGATTTAACAAAGAAACTTTTCAATATATACTGTAGACGGTGTTTTGATGACAAGGTAAATGATGCAATCCACTGAACTTTACGTTTTGACAGTTTCAATTGTTCATACCTTTTTCTTCTACAAAATTACTATTGCAGTTGTAGTATAAATCGTTATCAAAAAATTGTTAAAACTGTAGTAAAAATTGTATCCATTTATAACTTTAAAAACTGATCGTAGATGAATCCAGACATGACGGTGCAGTGGAATAAACGATTGAGATCGACTGCAGGTCGATGTCGCTGCCAATCAAACGGCAATGCAAAAGTTGAGCTTTCAATTAAAGTTTGTGATACTCCAGGTGAATTCAAGTATCAAAAATGTTCTCATTTTTGTGACGCTGGTTTTTGAATATTAACTAAAGGTTTAAATTACATTTATTCAGTAATGTTGAAAATTTATTATTATTGAAAACAAATTCATTGAACTTCTAAAATCGTTCTCTTCAGCTTGTAGTTGGAACGTGGCGAAAAATATGAGTTTTATGACATAATGCTGTCAGTCAAAATATCTAAAAGAAATATAAATAGGATGTTATTGCAGAAAGATTGCGTGACACATTATTGCATGAAATGTGCCATGCTGCAGTTTGGGTTATCGATAATATTCGTAAAGGTGGGCATGGTCCAGCATGGAAATATTGGTAATTCTATAGCTAAATAATGCCATTTCGTCTCACAGAATGTATAAAAGAATATTATTGACTAAATTCATTTTTCGAACTTTCATTATTCATACTGTGGTATAACATATTAAATTATAATTTAAGTAGTTGGAAACATAATTATTAATTTTTCACTGTAGTGTAGATTTGTTCTGTTAACAATGGTTGTGATAGAAGTCGGTTAGATACTTGCATGTTTTGAAAGAATTCTGGAAAGTTCTATTAATTTCAGGGTGAATCGGTGTCAAAAAGTATTTCCCTCCTTGCCGCTTATCAAACGATGCCATACCTATAAAATTAATGCTAAATATCTATATATATGTAATGGATGTGGGCAAATGTGATTACTTTAAATAAATTCAAAATAAGTCAAAGCAGAGCTGTGGTAGAAATATAACTCCTGAATTTAAAAGTGCTGAAAGAAACCCTACTCTTAATGAAAGCTATAATTTTCAAAAACTTCTTGAAGCTCCATACATCTGCTAGAAAAAAGGTTTGTGTTTTTTTCTGTTTTTACAGCAATAATTGCAGCATCAAACGACATTCTAAATCACTTGATATCAGTCATAAAATTTGTGGTATTTGCAATGGACGCTTTACTCTACACAGACATGATGGAAAAAAACCATCTGATAAAGCAACAAGTGCTTTTGCGCAGTTCGTAAAAGAAAAATACAAAGAAGAACGCAAACCAGGTGTAAAACACGCTGAAACTATGAAAATATTGTCGCAGCGTTTCAAACAGGTGAACTTTTTGTATCTTGAAAAGATGTGATCGATAACTATTTTCCATAAACTGAGTTTCAGGTCAAATTCTGAGAGATTTAACAAACATCAGAAATCTGATTTCCTCACCTGGATTGACATAATACAACTACTGATAATTTTAGCATATTTTAATGAGAACTTGACTTTCAATTTGTTGCCTTTAATCTATTTTCTGTATACAAAATTTAAATCGAAATAATATCTCATGCATAAATACCACTCATAAACTACAGTGCATGTCTCATATAACTAATCTTCACCATTGCAGGAAAAGGAACAATCTCAAGTCTGAAAACATCTCTGCTGTCTAGATAAGAAACCTACTGTGCCGATCTGTTATTTTATTTCACCCTGTAGCAAGCCTTCAACTCCTGTTATCTCTTCTAGAAATCTTTCATCTTGGTTTCCAAAAAACTTATATTTTTTATTTTTTAGTTGTGATTACTTTCATATAATAATATTCTTATCAGCAATTAACGTTCTCATTGTACTCGGTTACTTACTAACCAGAGATCACCTTTATCTTTTATTGATAGCTTGATAAGAATACTATTGAGCATCTAATATTATTAGCTTAGAAGTGAAAAGCTATGCAGTAGAGATCTAGAAAGAATGATGTTTTTACAACTTTACTGTTTAAAATTGAATTTGTGTCCGTTGTTCGTCTACATCGGAAGACAGCATTTTAAAGAATGTGAGGCTTCATCAAATCTTTACATTCCTTTTTTGCATTATTGCATATGCTGCATATATATATTTTAATGTCTTCTATAAATTATTTCAATCAAGAATATTTGAAATCACTATTGCGCATAGTGTTACGTGAAAAAGTAGTAGCATACGAATGATCCGCAACGAAATTTTCTCCCGTATCATCGTCAAGACCATAATATTTGCGAAGAACAGGATGTAATGGCGCGAAACATTTTCTATCCTTCAAGCTTAGAATTGAACCAGATGGTATACCAAGAAAAAGCTGATCAGGTCTTTTTTCCTCCCAACTATCTTGAGCAGGTTTTCTTTCGTACCCCATAATTTGAGCCAAATCTTCTTCGGCCTTGTCTAGATCACTCGCATCTGCCAGGTATCCACGACGTCGCGCGTCCGTGTAATATGATAACAAATTTTGTGGTGGAGCTTTTCGTCGTGGAACAGGCTTCCCTGCAGTTACAGTAATTGGCAAAAAAAAACAGGGAAGAACTAATATGATCTTGAGAAAATGATAAAAATAATATGATTTTGAGAAAATGAAGTTTATGAGTTACAATAGCTGACGAAAAAAAGTTAAAAACTTGTAGAAAAACAACCCTTTGGTGATTCAGTAGAATAATCAGTAAAGATTACGTGATCAAATGCTACCTGATAGGAACCATTTCTCAGGATCAACAGCCGCTTCCAAAGCTGCTGCATCATAATATGCGACTCGGATTCTACCACCAGCTCTTTCTACAGCAGCAATCGCTGTTTCTGATGCCCACTGTACCTCCAAATTTATTGCACTAACAAAACAATCAGCACCCTGAAAATCACAGCATTTTTTCACTTCTCACATGAGATATTTAAAGTGTTTATAATTATGTTTTGTAACTGTCTGGTCAAATTGTATGAAAATTTTGTATGGTATAAATACATGTTTAAGAAATGCGAAAATTTTTCTTAAAAGTACAAACCGTTGCAGAGAATGAGCAGTATAAGCAAGAAAAGGACATGAAATATTACTTGATCTGTGAGCTGGACACCAAACTGCCTTAATGAAGGTTTGCACTGGTATCTTTGAGTATTGCACAGAGCAGTGATATCAATCAGGCTTGATGTATCTAACCAACCCAAATCGATAAGTCGTTGCAATTCAATCAGCGACAAAGGCGGGTATTCACGTCGTAAGCTAAGAATTGTCCGATTTATTAATGATCTATTAGAATGAATAAATAATTAAAATTTTGTTGATAAAGGAGTGAGGAAAGAAGGAAGGGCAAAGCAGCAACAGAAGGTAATTAAGAAGATGTGATTCGAGCATACAATTATTCCGACTTACAAATCGTTATTGTAGTAGAAAGGATGACTAACTTTTACAGGCATTAATTTTTTACAGAATAACTGTCAGTGAAGGATAAGAATGAATAGTAAAATCAAGATACAATGCAACTGAAATTACTATCAATCGTACTTGATATCACCGTTGAAATGTTCCTCTCCAGGAAACAGACGTTGCCACGGAAGATAAAAGTTGCCCCAAATCCATCCAAGTGGAGGTTTTGCGGCATGTTGCAGTTCGCCAATGGTATGCCCTGCTTGATTATGTAAGGAAGACATTACTTGACGACCCTGAACAAAAAGCTTTTTAGTCAGCACCAAATTCTTAAGACATTATCATCAATACTTTCGCGAGGTTCAATTTTGACTGTTTCGTCAATAGATTCATTTTACATGAAAAATATAAATCATAAATTTATTATTCCCTGCAAATGAAATGATATTACTAATGTGAAACTACCGCAAAATTTAACTTCAAAATTGCAGAGTAAACTTTTAAGGAAGTCTGGAAGATACATCGAGAAGACGCATCAAGAAATCTAGCAAGTATATAGTGGCAAAGTCAAGTGCCGTAACATTTTAAATAGATGTGTATACCTGAGTCCTCGCACCAGGATTATCTCGAAGATCTTGCTTTTGTAAGCGGCTTGCACTTTTTACGTAACGCAGAGCTCGTTCTCGTGCTGATTTAATTACTTTAGAAGCCATATTCACATGCGATGCCAAATCTTTTGCTGAATAACATAAAATTATGAAAAAAAGACAGGAGATATTTAACCAAAAAATCCACGCACTTTTCTAGCTTTACTTGGGTTTTTTGATTCTCACATGTTGCTATCTACCACAGGAAAATCTCTTCATGACCAAAAAATTGAGGTAGTCTTTTTCAATGTTATTCCCAGTTCGCTTGATATAAAATTGCTTCACATAGATACCAAGCTTCTATACCAGAACCTTTAGATCTTTCATAAGAAAACCCCACTAATTTCTCGCACTGAACCTTTATTCTCAGTGCTTCAGAACACAAAAACCGGATTGTGATACTAGTTAGGTACCATAGAACAAAATACACAAAATCAACTTCACCAACGATTCACGGCATCAATGTAGGTGAATGAAACACCTTGGAAGACACTGCAGATTACAAATACTCATATCTAGAATGATTAAGAGCTGATTTTATACTTGAAGTTAGAAAAGCTAACTTGTTGCTTCCTCTTTTTAAACATTAGCAGCTATAATTTTGCAAATTTAGCATTAAACAAATAAATCATCTCATTCACTGCTTTTACAAAGATGACGTAAGACTTCTAAAAGCTTTTAAAGACGTATCCAGCTGAAAATTATTAATGTCGATAACAAAATGTGATAATGTTTGAAATACAAAAGAAACCACGTTTATTTGACTATAATACTTGGTGAAAGCAAAAAATAGTAAACAAAATAATTATGGCATACAGGTTGTTCAGAGAAAGGATATATAAATAAATATAGTGAAAAGCGATACCGTGTAGTAGCAAATAGAATTATGTGGCGGAAGGGAATTATGAAGAGGAATACATGAACATTACGTAAAAACGAAATAAAACGAATTATAAGGCTCAAGGATACAATTTCAACATCCAACAAAATAGTAAAGGCATACCAGAACTAAAGATCTCAATGATTTTATGATAAAAATCGTTTAATCCTTTCAAAGAAATTTTTTCAATCTAAACATGTTATGTTCTTATATTCCCGGTTTTATAGAGCCTCAGGTACCATAAGTTTTTTTACATAAGTTCTACATACAAGTCCACGAATAAAAAATGGAATGTTGCTACTACTCTTGTAGATCTTTCATACGTCTAGAAGTCATAAGATACTTATTATCTTGAAATTAGATTTCTAAAGCCTAAGCACAAACTTGACAGAGTAAAATTCGAAAAGACTTATCAATCAGTTTAATCGGTGATAAAAAACTATTGCATAATCCCTGTTTCAGAAATCATTTACGAACGACAATAACTCAAGATCTGTGCCAACTAGAAGAGCATACTTATGAAAACATTATAATAATGACTATTTATAAACAAAAACCAAAATATGCCCATACTAAAAAATATATATGCCAAGACAAAAGACTAAATATACCGATAAGACTATACCAAAAATAACTCAACTTAAATATGTCGATGCTAGGATGATAAAAAAAATTATGAAACAGAATTTAAAATGAAGTAATAATCTCAACTGTACATACATTTTACAAATCAATTCGCATTTAATGACCAGTAATTTTCAAAACTTCAAAACAATAGATTAATTCTAAAAAATGAAGTTTTGAAAAAGAAAAGAGACTAAAATGTTCAACAGTTGACACAACCGAATCTATCACTCGAATACTTGATAAGCGAGACCGCTGTAGTGTTGTCTAGTCCAAATGAGATATACAATGCCGACAGCAAGTGCAGCACCCAGCAAAAGCATGAAAAAACCAAGAACAAACATTGAACCACCAGTATACCCACTAAATGAGGGAATGACCGTTGGTTTCCATGTAGATGGTATGGTTCCAAGACTAGATTTTGAAAGACTTAGCATCTAAAATAAGATTATATCAATTAATCATGAAATTTCAGTCTACACAATAATTACTCTAAAGTGAATTTCAAAAACGAATTTCCACACTAAAAATCTCTTTAAACATTTGACAAATCTTTTATATATTTGATAAAGCAAAAATTTTCAGACTAGATACACCGCCCTAGTCATTGATAATAATAAATGATGAAGTAGTGACCGAATATCATACAAACTTCATTATAAGAAACAATTTTTTTACTCCTTTTCAAGGTTTATGAATTGATTCTTAAAAAAAGCTATTAATCACGTTTACAAGATACAATTTTCATATCTTGTAAATGTGATTAGTAGCAAAAGTGAATTTCAAAAACAAGTTTCTAAAAATCTCTTTAAATATTTGACAAATTTTTTACATATTTGATAAAGCAAAATTTTGGAGACCAAATATACTGCACGTATATAAAAGCTGAGAGTCTCGAAATCAGCAACTTTTACTGAGCTTTACAGCAACTCTAAAACTAAAAATTAACTTTAAAATCAAAATCTTACCACAGAGTGTGTGTCGATCGGAACAAAAAAAGTTATATCCTTTTCATTTAATGTCAAATTCAAAGAATTTAATGCTGCTTTAGCGCTTGTTTCATTCTATAATAATATAAAATTAACTGTCCAAATTTTTAAATACGAGAAAGAGTGCTTTACAAACTAAAGTTTTCGGAAAGTGATCAAAAATGGTGTCAAAAAAAGCAGATACAAATTAATAATACAGTAGAAGAAACACAGAATGTCATATAAGATTAACGAAGTCATATAAAAAGCTTTTGAAACAATCTAATCTTACAGATCTATTCCATGTATTTGCTGGCTTGACACCTGAACTTTCTCCAATAACGAAAAAGGCAATGACTGTTTCTTGCATCTGCTTAAACTGAAATTTCACGTTTGCGACCATTAAGGAAAGATTATTATATTATGAATACCTGAAGTTTTGCTACAAATTAATGATATTTCAAGGAAATTTTAAGTCACTGTTGAAATAAGGCAGGTACGAATGCATATTACAATGACATACGAAGAAATTGCCAATACGTAATACTGATACACCCGCAACACGTGCTATAGTTTCTCGCAATCTTTCTTGAACTCGATCTATTCCCACGTTCTCCAAATAAGCTAGCGTTGCTTAAAACATTTGATTTACATGTTAAACAGAAGAGGAAATGAATTATACAAACTATAAATGCACAACTGCAAATTTTCAAAAACTAACTGTTTTTGATAGTAACGTATACATAGCTGGATTCAACTAATTTGAGACATGAAAAAGTCGAGAATGAAGTTTGCTCAATTGCATTCACTGAATTATTTTTGAATGAATGGACTCGAATTACTGTTTTTGTTTTTTTGTCAGAATGATCCTACAAATACTGTATACGTACAGAAAAAATATTGTTATTTAAAAAATTTAATACCAGCCAAGTTTCTTTAAAAAAATATGCGTGAAAATTTTGCTAAAAAATTCAACAACGGAAACATCACTTGTAGATGACAAAGAATGAACTTTTCAAGTACCGTGTGATGCTGAATTATTGAATAAAGAAGCGGAGCTTTAACTTTTCCCACAACCCAATTTTCAGATGTAAAAAGCATTTCTACCACTGTTGAAGCTGTTGACGTATTTACTTTCGTAACGTAAACATCCAGTGGCACATCATTTACTATGCGCTAAAATATTGCCTTTCGATCACATTAAACTTTACATGTAACACAAAATTTTATTCAAAAATTAGTGTCACCTTTCCCGCATTATAGAAAGTAGAATTTTCAGAACTCCAGAACAATTGTTCCGGTTCTCTTAAATCAATTTGTTTCGTTGATGCATTCAGCACTTTGATATTTCCAAAATTTTCGTCAATTGCTGTTACAGTCTTGCAAACTTTGCTATCTCCATCCAGTATATACTGCAGTCCTAAAAATAAAATTGTTAAATTTTTTAGTCACTATCTTTAAAAATGAAGCCAGCTTTCGAAATCAAAATTAGTTGCCTATCAAAAAGTTTTTTTATATATGCAGCAAAGTCAGAAACTGAAATTGGACAGATAATTTTATTCACTAACCATATTGAAAATCATGAATAATATGGATATTCGATAATGCTTCCGGAATTGTTGCATTTCCCATAAATGGTACGTCTCCTTTCCCCTTGACATCGAAATGCATCGAGAAAATACGACTATTGCCATCATAATCTATCTAAAAATTTCAGAAGCCGTATAGTCAATAATTAATGCGCAAATCGAAAAATCATCGAAACTGAAAAATACGGAGAATGTTTTCCTCCAGAACTTTTGAGTTCTATAACTTTCAAGTTTCTAAGTGAAAAAATGTGGATTCATACATCAATATCGTGAATAACTCTGCCCATAACATCGATGTAATCAAAAGACATTTCGAATCTCTTCGGAAACATAATTGGTCGTTTGGACTCAGGAAAGCCGTTGCAGTATAATCCTTCGGGTAGCTAAATTAAAATTATTTGTCATTACAAAAATAGTGAAAACACAAATATCTCAAACTTGGAACTATTTTCAAACTCTTCATTCATAACAATGATTCAAATAATTTAGAAACATCAAAAATAACAAGACTACTACAATACATGCTCATTAAATGTCAGCTGAAATAACAGTGAGTTACGTTGACGAAAAGCATATATAAACAATACAGTGCTATAAAAAAATGTTACTTCCGCATTCAACTTTGTGCCTTTAGGCAGAAATTCCAGTTGTGTAATGTCAACTGAATCGAATCCAAGCAAATTACTAGTAGCTAAAATATAAAAAAATGAGCATACAAAATAAAAAATAAAAGAAATAAAATGTTCTATTTCTGCAAACTAGTTAGAATTCTTTGTAATGAAGGTGAAACATGCCATCAAAGACAGCGATGCGTATATATAACATATATGGGTTCTTAACAGAAGAAGAATAAGACGTTAAGGAATGTTGGCCTGCATAAGCTACTTCTGCCTGAAACATATATAAAGTCTTGAATACACTACTAAAGAAATTGGCAAGACCATGATAATCTTACCGGAAAATACTGATATATATTTTGATTTAGAAGGACAAACAAATGTTTAGCAGTCTAATTAATATGAAAATACCTGAAATACTATATTTGCATTAAAATAACATCCAAGCCACAAATATGCATCGACTCCCCCAATAATATCGGTTTTATTCGCGAGATATTGATAGGTGAAATTATGTTTTAAAACGAAATCGATCAAATCTCCCATGAATGTACCAGTATAATTGAGAACTTTTGCAAGCTCTGGTTGTATATACAGAGCAGGGAGTGCAGAGATATCAGGTATAGCTGAACAAGATGTTCCTGAAAGATAAAAATAAAAAGATAAAATAAAATACCATGATAAAAAATTTAAGAGAAAGCAATAAGTTTATTCCATCAGCATAAGAAAACCTTATGAAACAAGAAAAAAGTTTTCAAAACAAAATGATACTTTGCTTCAATGATGAGGAAAAGAATGAAAAGAAAAACCACAAATTTAAATACATGTTGCTGAATGCGATAAAATTTTGCTGAATCCTTATTTAAATTGCTGTTTTGAGATGAATATTACATGCTTGTAATATTTGTTTCAAAACAGTTAATTGAAGATCTTTTCAGCTCCTTCAGTCTTTACAACTTTTCTGAGCTAATAACAGATTACCACTCCCAGAATTCCTTCGTAAACAGTAATTCTATTCAAAAAATCGAAAAACCACACCATTATAAGTGTAGTTCAGGTTTCCGAAGAAAAAGCGTGTCATGTTTTCCGAACGAGATAAAATAGTGACGTCTGCTTCGCTTTCAGTGCGGGTTTCAGAAATCAAACTTGTCACATTTTTTAGCCAATTTGTATGCCGTATTACCACCTAAAAACATTACTTGTTTAATCATGTTTTGAAGGCTGTCATATATACTCTCAATTTTTTATGTACAATGCGGGAAAACCTATATAATGAAAGTACTGCCGAATTCTACCTTATAATTATTGTTCAAAGCTAGAGTTTTTGGAAGTGAAAACTTGTGTAGCGAATCATTAAAATTCATTTTACATTTTGGCTGAAAGCTAGTGATCAACGTCACTGGCAATAAGATAAACCAGAACCAATTCATAACTGCTGAAAATTTAACAATAAAAATACCACTATGACCAACTGAAAAGCTGAAAAATGGTGAGTAATTAAAAGTAAACCTTTCTAACCACAAATACGTCATAATCACGTCAAAAAATAAAAAAAATTTTTTCGCGCACACTTTGACAATCTTCCACTAAGCTTATAAAAGTTGCATTTAAGAGAACTAATTTCTCCTGACTTCAAAATATTTTAAGTATCATAAATCTGAATTCTTAATGGGCAACTGAATCGCACACATTTGAAGTGGATGAAAGCTTTAGACAACAAAGATATGGGGTTTTATCACCATCATTGAAACAATTTGTTCACTAACATACAGAAGACTAGAAATAGTGATTTCATTATGGTATTCAATTACTGCAATAACAATGCCAGGTTCAAACCAAATCAACGGGCTCGACTATTTGGGACAAATATGGATTTGCTAAAGAAACTAATTTGCTTACTTACTAGTATTTAACAATATTACGAGCAAATGAAGATTGCATTTGACGAAGATAGGTAAACCTTGTTGAATTCAACCCTTTCCTTCATCACATCATTATGAAAAAAATACGCTTTCACTACGAAACAAATGAGTAATACTTAAGAACGAGGATAAAATAGTGTAATGTTGTAAGCAGGAAACAAAGATGCCTATCATTTGTGCGCAAGATTCATTTAAAAAACCTCACTTGAAATTAAAATAATCAATGTTGCAGTCGCAGACATGACGTAAAAAAGAACTTATAGAAGATTATGACACGTCGTAAATGTAACATGACACGTAAATGTATGCAATGAGTACAAATCAAAAAATCGATCACAAGAGCTGTAAACAAAAAGAGCTGCTGCCAGCACATTTATTAGATGACATGAAGGAGGTTGTTATGAATAATGGCGTTTTGCTTCTCAACCGACAAGTTTTGATATATATGCTCAAATGCAAATAATAAAGTGATAGTATATAAACTGAGGAGAAGGTTAAGAAAAGTAGCCCAAAAGAAATAAATAGGATCTAGTTTCAAAACTAATAATATATTCATTTGTATTCAACTAATAATATATTCACTAATAATATATTCATAGTTTCATTTGTCACTCTAATTGCTGTCATACTGTAGACTATACTAGTTTATATTTTAAGCAAAAAATAATCGAAATTTAAATTTTATGAGTTGGAAAACTGAAGAAATTAAAACTGCAATTAAAATTTGATAACAATGATAATAAAAAATATTTTTATTGTCATAAATTGAAATTAATTAATTAATTAGTAAATGAAGAATGAAATTAAGAGTTTTTAATATCAAATTATTTTATTGAATTTATTTCCTTTTAAAATGGTATTAGTACAATCTTGATAAGTGCAAGTATGCATATTGGAATCAGATGAATGCTGAACTCAGTTCTGCTTGTTTCAGATGAGCCTCCATCTGTTTCCATGCTTTTCAGTTCCTGCAATAATTTTATTGCGTTTAATTTATTAGACTTATTTCGCATCATTCTATTACATTTGCGTGACTGAATTTACATTTGCAGTTAAACAAATTACACAGAATCTGAAATAAATTCTTTGTATTACAGTAAAATAAACTATTGCATTAGTAAGCATATTTGTTTATTATTCTTGCAGCATTCAATAAAAGCATTTTCATTTTTACTCGCGAGCTGAAATGAAATTTAATAATCATATTGCTTTTTTATCCATTTTTTGCGAATATTACGCCATTTTTTGATCCAATAACAATAACTAAATGTAGAAATAAGAATACAGTTACACTTAACCTCACGTGCGCTTTCTTCTTTCTCGTCATCTACATTTTCATCTTCTGCACTTTTGAACCCTTTAAAATATTGCTACAGCAATAAATTCAGAAATGTTTCAACTTACTTCTAAATATTTCCTTTGCTTCTAATTATAAATTACAAATTTAGATGCACGGAATTTGCATAAATCAGTTAAAACTTTTACTATTTATTTGCTTCCAAAAATTAAAATATATCAATGAATTTATTAAAAGTTTAAAAACTTTTACTTTGTTTCATATCAGTTTCTCTTTGTTCTGTCTCATTTTTATTATCATATTTTCGGTCATCTTCATATACTTCGGGTTCTTCTTCATAATCTAATCCAGAACTTAATGTTGGAATTGTTGTTTCCGCAGATTCCGCAGATTTATTTGTAAAGATTGATTCTGGCAAAGTATCATATTCAATTTTGAATTCCTTCTTTATGCTGTAGGTAATATTAAAATTCGAATTTATTCTGTCCTTAATTTTTGTGCCTTCACTTTTGTCATTCTCACTAATGATACTACTAGCATCCAGATGATTTTCTTCAGATTGGTTTTTCAACGTATACATATCCACTATTTCTGATACTTTTTGATCATTCCTCAACGTAGTTGCATTTACAGTTTGTTTCGAATAATTTTGTTCGTTTGTAGTGGAAGTGTTTGTAGGGCTTAACTGTTTTTCAGTGCTTTCAATAGTTGATGAACTAATTTCAGACCAGTTTTGTATACCTTCCATTGGTTTTACAGTAGTATTTATTGCTTGCGACTGATTTATCGTATATGTTTTCCTGACAGGATTACTGAATTCGTAGGGAGAAGAATTTTGTGTGAATGTAATATTTTCAAAATTTTGTTCCATATTAGCAGTAGTAGTATTTTGCTCAAAAATTATACTCATTATAGAATCAGTCTCATCGTTATTTTGTTGTTGAATAGTTGAAGATTGTAGTTGATCAGTTGAAGATTGTAGTTGAATAGTTGAAGATCGTAGTTGATCAGTTGAAGATTGTAGTTGATCAGTTGAAGATTGTTGTTGAATAGTTGAAGATTGTTGTTGATCAGTTGAAGATTTTATTTGATCTGTTGAATTTGGTTTATGAGTAAAAGATGTTGATAAAATTGTTGATTTCGTGTTTGTATTTTCATGCAAGTTTGCTTCACTTTCATCTATTGGCATTTTTGTATTAGTTTCGTTTTGTTGAGTAGAAGGATCGTATAACTGATTACTATCACGTGGATTCCGATGTAAAGCATCAGCGGCTGAGCCTTCAATAAACTGGTGCAATTGCAAAGCAAAATTGTCGTAATCTTCTTCAGTTGTTTTCAGTTTGTTGTTGGTTTTTTCCTTCTGATTGTTTGCTTTTACATTGTCAAAATCATCGGATGTTTTTTCTTTGAAGTATCTGTCGTTTTCTTGCGGAAATTTTGGTAATAAATAATTCCAAAGGCTGCGTCGAACCCGATCACTTAATGAAAGTAATGGTAACTGCGTCAATATTCTTAAACCATTCAGTATATCTGCTTGAGATGCTCTTTCCACGCTATCCTTATCAATTCTTTGATCAAAATTGCTAGTAGAGTTTTTGACTACACTGGTAGTGTTCGGTATGTTGTTATTTCTTCTTTCAACATTTCCACGCAGCACTTTGATTTTTGAATTAGGAAGGTTCGGTTCAGTCCAAGACGATTCTGTTTTTCCTTGATCAATTGTTGTACCAAGTTTAGTATCAATGTTATCTTAAAAAAAGGTCATATAACGCTAAATTTTTCCGAGTGGCTGAGTCTTTTCTAACTGCAATGTACGTGACCTGCTTTTTTGCGTGACAACTTCTTGATCAGAAAAAGCCATCATGTAAAGCAGGCATGTTAGCTATTATAATGGGAATTATTTGTCGTCTTTAAATGAGCTTTTGATTGTCTTACATTAGGTATGTATTAAGTACTCACTGAAACTCTCGATAATCAAATTACTTGATTCAATTTTTAAAATATGTTAAGAAATTCATATACCCTTTTTGTATGTACCAAAAAATCCTGTTCGATGTAAAATAAATGAAAAAAAAGAGTAATAAATGTAATTGATAATTTTGACAATAATTCTTGAGAAAATTTTAAGTGAAATTACATGTGTCATTGATAACTCCAGCTACATTAGTTTATATATTAGATTTTGAAAGATGGCTTACCGTACATTAGTGTATGGTATTCACAAAAATTGAAGGCTTTCTTGAATTAATGCGAAATGTATTGTTTCAAAAATAGTAAAATTTAATTATAGTTTACTCATAAATTGTAGAAAAAGTTACGGAATTTAATTTCGCTTACTAATTATTATAATGAAGTAAATGACGAGCGGTAGCAATTGTGCGTTCATTAGTACGTCAAAAGTTTTGTTACTGATTTAAAAATCTAACAAAAGTATCCACCACACCACACCTCACTGGCAGTCTATAAAAGAATGAAACTTACATCAATTTGCTTACTTTTTATGCTATTTAAATCCTTCTAAAGAAAATATCACGCATATGATCCATTTTCTGTAATTGGTCAAAAATATTAAATTGTTGAATATTTGATTAACTATTAGATATTACTGATGCACAGTACATGAATCAACGAGCAAGCATGCAAATGAGATTGCGTTCTATTTGACACCAATTTTCCATAAATTTTTTTGGGCGCATTACGCTATGATTACTTATCTGCTTCTTTTCTTAATTTGAAGATGACTCTCATCAACTAATTTACGCTTCACTTTTCACATATCTACACGTGAAAACGCTCTATCAGTCTACAATCTACAAGACTCAAGTGCGAAATTGTTCTTGCACACACTAATAGCGAAAGAGTGAAATTAGTCAGTAATTGAATTCTGCATAGTTGCATTACTTGTGGTTGTCAATTTCATAGCTTTACTGGTTTGGCTTAAGTCAAATTTCTTTCACTTAAATTTATTTGCACGGGAAATTATAACATTTTACTTATGCTTTGCTCTCCGCGCTCTCAGTTTCTTTACGTTTCGAATTAATTTATTTTCGATAGTAAAAAATAGGCTAGCAAACAATGACTAAAATTAGAAATGCAATCCAAAATGCTTTTTTTGCAAAAGTATTTTTAGCATGTCAAATTATACTAGTTTTTGAGATTTTGTACTCTGTCTTACACGTGCATGAGTGTTTCATGATGAAAAAGTTAATATTATCAATCAAATAGTTAAGTGATATATTAAGTGGAATATGTTTTGAATGCTAATTGCTATTCATAGAAGCAGTGCTTTGAGTATCAAATAAATTTCATGTGTAATGCTAATATGTTTGTTTAGATTTATATGAAGGATTTATATCTTGACATCATCGTTGCTAATTTTTGCACTTTTTCTAAGAACATCATTGTTGGGAATGTACTTCAAATTAAAACTTACCAACTTAGCAACGATATTAGTCATAGTTACATTTTTTTGTCTGGCATACCTCATTTGGACAACAGAAGAGCATTTTCCTGAAGTAGTTATTGAACTCCATGATTTACTAAGGTCCAGTTTTTTTCTTGCGTTTTCTTACTAAATACAGTAATATGCAGCAATCCCATGTATTCCAAAATTTAAAGGAATATAAATTAATAGTGGTCACTTGTTAAGATCTGTTTTCAGTTATATTCTCCTGGCTACAGAATTAGGCGGTCGTGCTATATTGGATGTCAGCCAACTGAGTAACCTGGAAACATTCACAAAAAAGGGATTTATTGCTGACAAAACAGAAATCTTGACTAGGGCGGATTTGTTATCGAATCAGTTAATATTCGACGTTCTGCAACGATATCCTGGTTTAAGGGTAATTAAGTCAAATTCTTTCAGCGCAGTTACTGTCTAAAATAATGTCTGATAATTAACTCAGTAGTCCGATGATTCACATAATTCAAATTTGCTCCATTAGTGGGTGAAGTTTGAAATTTCAAATATTAGGCAATATTGATTCTATCAAACGATATTCTCTCTACTGACGCATTGTTTGTAAGTTTAGGTTATTTCTGAAGAGAGAAAAGAAAAACTAAACCTAGTGGATCACGAAAGATATTTGCAAGATGAAAAATTTTATGTATTTATTAAGAACATTGTTGACTTATTTCCATCGAGAAGATATCCCTTATCTAAACTTGCAGTCTGGGTTGATCCATTAGATGCCACTCAGGAATTCACAGGCTAGTGTTTTAATTTTTATGTGTGTGCATATTTTTGTGAAGTGTTTGGGCTATGTATACATTTTAAACCAAAGCTGTTCAGTTCATGCAGTATTCGCAAAACGATTCGTAAGAGTTTAATATTTTGGAGTTTGTAAAATAATCATTTTTATATTTTCAGAAGGTCTATTTCAATACGTTTCGGTGATGCTTTGCATTACAGTAGATAATGAACCTATTTTTGGTTCTATTCTAAGACCTTTCTCTGGCGAAAGAGGTTTTTAATAGTTTATTATTGTAGCCTGTTGCATTATTTAATTATTTCGATTTAAAATTTGGTGAAATTACTTCCGCTTGTTATTCCATTATCAAGAACAATGTACACTCCTAATATTTGAACAGTTGCTTCACTGTATTTTTTTTTCAGTTTATGGTTTGAGTGATTTCGGAATCATAAGAGGAAATGGTGAAAAATGGAGTCGAAATATTCTACTAAATAATTCAAAAATAGTTTTGGTTTCCAGGTGCACTTTTCATTAGTTGTAATAAATTTAAATATGATAGCACTTTTAAATTATAAAAATCAATATTGACACTTCCATGTTCATGTTTTTCGTGTCCTGGATTCTCATATTTTTCTTGTTCATAAAACTAAAAAACACGAGCCTTCAGTTACCTTGTTTGGTTATATCTTTTATTTATTTTATCAATACATTTTCTTCTAGATCTCATTCTGGAGATATAAAAAGATTGTTGAATGCATCATCATTAAGAAATCTAATGGTTGAATTTGCTGGAGGTTCTGGATACAAAACATTAAGATTACTGAATGGCAGTGCTGGTGCGTTCTTTGCAACTATTGCTGTTGAAAAAATTTTTATTTTTCATCCAGATTACACAGTATTTTGAGTTTCTTGTGCTGTATTTTTCAGTGTTTCAACTAGAATAGATGGATTCATAATCGAGAGAATAGATTGCTGTATCATGCATTCATGACTTCATTTATTGAGTTACTTTAAAGTCATGTACTGGAAGATTTTCGAAAATAAAATAACAGAATTGTGAAGGTAGCTTATATATTGAATTTCAGAACTATATATGCACAAAACGAATATTAAGAAGTGGGATACATGTGCTGATGATGCTTTGCTTAGGTCTGTTGGTGGTTTGATGTTGGATTTTAAGGGTAATTTGCTAAATTATGATCCAGATGGCAACTACATTCTCCGTGATGGTTTTATAGCTGCTGTCCAATATCCTTTCACATATTTTCAGCGACTGAAAGATGCTTTGAGTGATGAAATTTTATCTGATCGTTGAAGTATTTTGAAGGTATTTCCGTGTAAAAATTTCTGATACCAAAAAAATGGTCAAACAAAGAATAACATATTACAAGCCAAATCAATTTCTGTGTATAGTTATTGTATTTGTATTAATCAATTAATAACAATGAGTTGTTAGGAATGAGTGCAATGTACTGGAATTATCAAACATACTTAAAAGCATTTTATTCACTTTTTGATACTCTGATTTCTAAGATCGATCATCTGTTTATTTGTCAATATTCAAATAGTATGATTGTCGCTAGTAATTTTATAAATGTCATTTTTGTCGCTATGTTAAAAAATTTTCGTGGTAAACAGCTGGTTGATGTCAATTCAAGTTATTTCGCATTTATTTCTTTGATTTGAAAAACTAGAGTAATGATTTAAGGAAAATTGATTATATAATTGAATTGGTTTTTCGTATCATTTCAGCATATTTTTTCAGTTTAAACAATATGAATAACGTTACAGCGAAGCTGAATGAAATTGCCTTGCATAAATTTCAATTAGCTTCGGAATTTCTTACACTGTATGGACAACTGCAAACAATCTTCGACAGCTACCGCTACAATTTGTCCAAGACGAAGTAGGTTACGTTTCGTTTTGATATTAAAGTGCGCATGTCTTTAAAGAAATATTTTCTTATTATGGATGATATCTAAGATTAAGTCTAGTAAACACAAAAAGAATCTTCTCCAATACGTGACGTAAGAGAGAAAATTTCTGCCAAAAGGTTTGAACTCGTTATATATATGGAGAGGCCAGAACTTAAATGTTTGTTCATGACCGTTGAAATTTACCATCATTACATGATACTAAATTGTAATGATGCTTGTTTCCACACACAGTAACTATTTTGCTCTGTTGAATGTGGTTTATTTTAAGGTTTTTGAGCTTCTTCAAAGAATACCTTGAACTTACAACGTTTTTTTGAATTGTTATATGATATATTTCAGGACAGTATTGGGGTACTCTGCAACCAGTGCAGCAGTTATTGACAATCGCGATTTAGAACCAGTCATTCGGTTTGTTGCAGTTCCATTAATGCAATAATATCCAGAGATATTTTGTCCCGTTAAAAATTCGACAATACTTAAAATAATTGGAACCTTGTAGCGTTGCAGTAAGTGCAGATGGGACGTTCTCACTTTCTGCTGATGGAATAGAGCCTCAGGTGTTAGAGAAACATCCACCGCTCACCTGCCAGTTCCGTCCGTTTGGCATTCTGGAACCGCGATGCGCAAGAGAAGCCCGTCGAGACGTAGCTAAAACGCTACCAGTAATATGCGAGATTGCTAGCATCAAGTACAAGTTGCAACAGTTACATAAAGAAAGTGAACAGCTCACTTCACATGACTACTCAGAACTGGGTTAAAAAACTGGAGTTTGCTTCATTTATGATATAACTGTTGCAATGCTCCATCTGGCAATCATCGCTTATAACGTCTTTTCTCATCTACAACCCAGTCCTCTTATGTGTTCATTGTTTACTGAAGTTTGACGAATCTAGTGTATAAACTGTTCATTGTAATAGTCTTAATAGCATTCCGTTACCAAAAATTACAACACAGCTCTTAAACAAATGTAATTCATAGGATTTTCACAACGTTTCAATTAGTTAACATTTGTAAGTCAACAACAAGAGCATGGAAAGATATTTCAAGAATCATTGTCACTATCTTCTTCATCATCCTGATTGATTTGGAAGTATCTTAGCTCATACATATCCTTCGAAGAAGCAACTACTCGAAGCCAATCACGGAGGGTATTACGTTTCAAGTATTTCTTCGTAAGGTATTTCAGATATCTTTTTGAAAACGGCACCTAAGATCAAAATATATTTGCAAACAAGAAGTGAAAACCGACTAATCTACATACACAAGAGAGTGAAGACCAAAAAACAGTAACAAGTTGAGATAAACAACCTCTGAAACAAGAATGACTTTCGTTTTCGCGATTTCCAGTTTTACACCGTTTGCAGCCATTGTACCAACTTTTCCATTCACTTTAATTCGCTCATTGAGGAAAGTTGCCTAGAATGATGACATCAGGTCTCACTAAGGGACCGTAACATGCAAAGGATAACACTTCCATGAAAACACTTCCATTGCATGCTTTTACCCTATGCCTGATATCTTAACACACAGAGAAGGGGACTCTGCATGTTGCTTCGTCATTAATCTATGCACAATGACTATTTCCCAAGCAATGTTAGACTGTATGCAAACCAATATAAAATAAGAACTATCGCTAAAAATAAGTACAACATTTTCATTCTCTACTACAAGATTTTCTAAATAATTTGCTAGCAACAATAAAGTTACTTTACAAACAAGTCAACTGTAACCGTCCTGTAGGCTCATCAGACTATCTAGGAGTCTTTACGAGATGTGCAGGACGGCAAATTCGATTTTCCTCAATCATCCACGGCTAAAGCACTCTTAATAGTGAAAGCATCGGCAAAGATGAGGTGACTAAGCTCCAAATATCCACTTCAATCAAGTTTCAGCCAAGAAGAAACTTACAAAATCGTTGACATTCATGATGCCATCTTCTACAGGATTCTTGCATTCGATGGTATACTTTACTGAATGTTTCTTTTTCTTTCCTACACTGCGCTTTTTGCCCCGTTTTGATACTGGGACATGCTTTTTGGCCTTTGGTGCTGCCATTGCTATAGACAAAAAAAATTGCAATTATCTGATTGACCGATCTCAAAAAATATAATTTTCGATGGATAAATTTCTTTTCCACGTAGTTTTAGTATTCCTTAAATAATTTAATAATATTCATAGTAAGAAATGTCAAGCAAATCCTTACCACACTAAAAAATACACTCATCTTAATACCACTCACACTAAGGCAAAAAACCCATACCTCCTAAAAATCAACAACATTTCACGCATTAAAAAATGGCAACGCTATGAAAAATGAGATCTTGATGTGTGAAAAAGAGCTACAGATCATACAGAAATAAACCTGCAGGGACGGTTTTCAGTACCAAAATCTCTAAATGGTATTGTCTAGATAAAAAGATTATACTGTACTGAAAACAGTAATTTAACGTCGAGCATTTGCTAAATTCCATTACTATAAAAGAAGAGATAAAATCAGAACTACATGCTATTTTCATCATTTGTTGGCATTTGTTGTTACTTGAAAGAAATTAAAAAATTAAATTTTATATCAAACGAGTATAAAAGTATTTTATTCATTTGATGAGATTGAAAATGATAGTGACAGTGTTATCACGTTGGTAGCAGTAATCAGATGCAGCAATAACTTAGTGATTCTTTTCGTTATTTCGTTTATTTTGCATACTCGTTTTTATATGTAAAAGTAAACAAAATTGAATATTCAAAAAGTGTATTAATTTGTAAATTTGAAAAAAATAAAAAAGATTGTTAATGCGCAATTTGATGCATGCGAAGTTTTATTGTGCATCGGTCAGAGATTACACAATTGCATGGAAAGTTTGAATAATGATAAAAAGTTAATACATTTGCTAGCCACACAACAGAATGCATTGTTGACAATATTAGACAACAATACAATGCTTAAATCGTTGCTAAGTTTGCAGAAGAAAATGAATGAATAGAAGTAAGTATTTGCAATGCAAATTAACTGAAATGAATGAATAAATAAACGCATTGAAGAGATTATTGCTAGCAAATACTTCACAGACAAGCAAGCATACGAGAAGACTCGTGCGTGAAATGGCGTTTATTTTTGCACCAAAAATTTCACTGCAAAATATATAATTTATTACAAAGCATGCGAATAGCACGGAAACGTTTGTGTATACTTTTCTTTTATTTTCATCTGACAATTTTTGAGCATAAAGAAGGAGCACATGCATAGATGATGCTATATATTCATGCAAAAGTGATACTTGTATTTAGGATATGTGTGTGTGTATGTGTGTGTGTGTGTGTGTGTGTGTGTGTGTGTGTGTGCGTGTGCGTGTGTGATGACAAATGAAAATATTTTAGTATAAATATATACTTAATTAAAATATAATAAATTTGCTTGAAAATAAGTAATATTTTTTAGCATAGTATTAGAATGGCATTTTCAATAAAATGGATATTACTTTTTGTTCTTAGTGTGAATTTGACGCATGCAGCTATTCATAAACGAGTGGTGAGTATGAAATATTTTTATAAAATATTATTTATACAGTCTTAATGCTATTTTTAAAATTTAGCTGTTAGTATTTTAAGTTTATAATTAAATAAGCAACAAATATCACTCAAAATTATTTTGCAGCAATTTCAAGAACCGTTGGTAAGCAATGTCTTTTATTCCCTTCAGTCGAACGGTACAACAGAAGAACCATTTACTGATGGAGATATGTTTAACCAGAATAACTATCACATGAATGATATTGATAATCAGGATTATTATGATGATGATTATTATTACTATACTATGGTAAATTAGTTGTATTAAAAAATTGGTAGAAATAAAAAATTTAAAATTAATTGCTTTATTAAAAATGCTGTGAATAGATTTTAATAATTAATTATGCATGAATCAAAGAATGGATTTTGTACTGGAACTGGAAACCTTCTTTACAAATTATCAAAATTATTAATTGTAGACTTTGCAATAGTGATAATCTTAATAGCAGAACGGATATTTCTCAAGTAGTATTACGGAGAGTCTATAAAATTTGGCGCTATTTGCTATCCACAATACTACTTCAAGTTATATTTTTGAACTGAATTATTATCATTTGTGTTTCGGTTACAAGTTAGCTTTTCAAATGTGAATCAGAAGATGAGAGGAATTTCCATCGATTGAACTAATTAGCATATAATTTTAGCGGAGAACTGCAAAATGGAGAGAGCGAACTGAGCAAATGTGTGTGTGTGTGTGTGTGTGTGTGTGTGTGTGCATTATGATACAAGTTGGCATTGGTGTTTGTCGTTGGGGAAAATAGACAAAAGTTGTGGATGGCACTGAGTTGTCAGATATTATCAGCAAATTTTTTTCTATATTGCTAGGGAGACGTGAAAAGCGCAGAAATCCCTGCAAGATCGCAATTTTATTCGAGTCGCAAATCGGGGCTATAACTAAGGTGGCTAGTAAGTCAGGTAGGTACTAGTTAATTAGCTAGTTAGTCTAGTGCTGAAATGACTACCTTTTTAAGACAGTAATTGCACTGAATGGGTTGATGAGGATTGTTGTGAATTTGTCATGACTCTCCCAGGAATTATTCATTTCTGACGTGTAATATTGATAACTTTGCTAATTTGCAAGTTACTAATGCAGTGAAACTTGCTGCGTGCCTAGTAATAGGATAAAAACAACAAGGGTCTACAGTCATGTCAGCTATCTTCATATATGAGACATCTTAATCTCGAATTGAACTAATATTACAATTATTATTCGGTAGTTCGAGATCGTCTACTTTGGTTCGTTTATTTCTTAAAGAATTTGCTTCATATAGCAGACAAAAACTGACGCAAAATACAAGCAGCGACATAGTTCTGTCACACAGCACAATCGCTGTTCACTCGTCATTTTCTTAAGATTATCTTTATAATCACACAGTAAGACTAGGACGCAGTGCCAAGAAAATCATCTTTACACTCGCTTTCCTTCTCATAATAATCATTCCAATCACTAATGCCACCTTCCGCCATGTTCATTGAAGGCTAAACTTCTAATCCATTTAAAGACATTACTCATCTTCATCAATGAAACCCATGTTACCCTTCTCTTTGTTTCATTAAAAAGCATGAGTATTTTAAGTTTCTTAATTCAGCTTTCAGTTAATCAAATTGTAAAAAGCACCGGAACACAAAAAATATAACTGATGTTGTCACTTGAAAAATCATACACTTTAAAAAAAGGAGCTATAAGAAACAGCCATGAGATATACAGCACGTAATTCGTACTATACAGTAAAGCACAGTAGATAAGACAAGTATATCACTTGGACTTGTAAATTAAAAAAGCTTAAAACACTAAAAATCAAATAACTACGAAAAGACTAAGCAAGAAAGATTAGATCGTCATGAAAGAACTGAAAAATTTTTGTGCTAAAGTTACGGAATCAATCATTTCACTATCTGGAGCAAATTATTTGGGGAATCCTAAAAACTGCGATATCTTGATATGTCAAGGTGGGTGTATTATTCATTTTTTTTTTTGGAATTTCATGCAGTTTTATACTGTTCATTTAATGAAATATAAGTTTAGATGCACCACAGTGAGTGTATCATCGTTTTTGTTTGTCAGATTTTGAGATGCAGCACAGCTATAACAAAACACTTGAAGATGAACTGCACTACTTAGAAGATTTAAAGATGAAGATCAAAAATTCTTGTTTTTTAAGTGTTCCAATTCATTAAATCCATTCATTAAGTCCGAAGAGCTGCATAGCCGCAGTGAGAAGAAGATTGTAATACCTCCAAAACTGAAAAATGGATGAGCATAACAAATATTAAAGATAAATAATCATTTCCCATTTCAATTAGTCATACAAAAACATTATAATTTACATTTTTTTCAATAAAACACTTCCGCTATTTCTCATAAAAACAATGTAACAATATCAAAAGAGAATTTGCTTAAACGACAAAGTACTGTGTGCTCGAAAATACTGTCACTAACATTTTTAAAATTGGTTAAACCATTGCACTGGAAAATACAATTACCATAGAAAAATGTTCTAGCATCTGAAACAGTTCACTCACATGTGCTGAAAGATGAATAAAATCAGCCTATGGTTAATTATAGAACATTTTTTCCTTACCAAAAATGCAGTTAAAGTTCTGGTTCAACACCAGCTTGGGTCATCAGATCAGTTATATTCTTCTCCAGCTCATCAATACGTTTCGTCATGTCATCTATTCGACCTATAATTTGATCAGACATCCGTTGAAAACGATCCTGTGTTTGTTGCAGAACTCCTTGTATCTAAAAGCATGCTTCGACTTTTTACACTCAGACCACTCTATGCCACTTCCAAAGCTATTCTCGAGAAATTTAAGAATCTAATGCATACAAATCAAGAAAATTTATTTTTACAAAACGTGAAAATCTTAATAAAAAACAAGCGCTCTCAACTAACCAAGGATGATAATTCAAGCAGGCTCTGATCACCAGATTTAATGTCCTGCATAATTAATAAGTCATTCTCGTCTTTTTTTGAAAGAGTCTCTTCTCCAATTTTTTCATTATTCTGTTGTTGGTCAGAATCCATCTTCACCCTTTCTCTGACTCTACAAAAAACCAGCTATCAGTTACTCATGACTTAGCTGAAACACAATTAAAAAAATAATCTAAATGCGACTATAGCAAACGGGAACGCTGATTAAGATGAATAAATTCAAATTAAGAACTGAAATCTGACAAATAAAAATTGTCTCCCAGGTAATATGCTGTGATAAACAGCCAAATATTTGATGCAGATCACACATTTACTATAAAACAGTAATTTATCGAAAAATCGTACACTTTCGCAAGAAGTGTTCACAACAATAGTTTCATATATTAGTTGTAAATAAATGTGACAAAGCAAACAAAGAATTCATTTTCAGTTCTTCCAATAAAATTAAGATAAAAGTGTATAGAGATAAAAAACAAAAGAGTATCTGAATGAATAATAAGAAAATCAAACTCACGAATTTTTAATATCAAACTCACCAATTATTTACAAGTTTAACAAATACATTAAAAAAGGCTACAATAAATCGAACTTGAAAAATAACACTGAGTAGTTTCAAGCTCTTTTTATATCGGAAAATTAATCCATTTATTACACATATCAGTATAATACAGTTTCCTTTAAACGAAACATGCTCACAGTATAAGTTCTTGCTGTAAGAGTAACCTAAAAAATTAAAAAAAATATTAACGATAAAAGACATTTTTCATTGCTAGTATCAAATTTATATTCATCATTGTTCTATACCCATTATCGACTCACAGCATGGTCAATAAGCGCTGATATTATAGCTTATCAATAGGTAAACATGACTAACTCACTTTTAAAGACAAATAAATTATCATAATTAAATTAAAATTTACAAAGACCGTGACGTTCACATATTGCCACCACTTTTCTGAGGTATCGGAAAACCACGTAAACAACAAATATGTTTTTCCACAACAGCTGGTAAATCTGACTCGGCAATACATTCCGTATCTTTGATTATTCGATAAACTGTTGCAACTTCCGCAACATTAACACCTTTGACCCAGATTCTTCCATTAATGCCACAAGTTATTTCAAATTTAATGTCTTTACCAATTATTGACAGTAACTTCGAATTTGGTGATAACAGCCGGCGTGCATGATTTATACTTGTCTTAAACATAAATCCGCCCGATGGTAATATACCCATACCTCGTGCACGATTTTCCTTATCAATGCACGTAAGCTACAAATTCAAAATGAAAAAAAGTAGAAAATAATTCCACGTTTTATTAAAGAAAAATTATCTCTTTAGTTGTTTTTCTACATCTTTAATTTTATTTTTTTTACTTTTTATTTTAATCAGTAACTCTGAAACTGCTTGGAAACTACACTTCATACTTTGTTAATTCTGTAGAGTCAAAAAATATTAAAAAATAAAAATTTTATTTTTATTTTTTAATATTTTTTGACTTCGTAAAAAGCTCGATCACAAAATTACTTCAGGCTCCAGATGTTTTGTTGCCACAGACACGACTGCATAAATCAAGTCACCATTTTTCAAATTTGGACGATTACGCTTCGTAGCACCTTGAAAACAAAAATTTAATAACATGGTTGCATTAGTGTCCAGCCGCAACAGAAAGTGACTTAAAAAAACGCGAAATGAAATTCATCATAAGCATCGATTCGAATATTCAAGTAGTCCTAGAACATATCTGATGTGATGCAACTATATTATTAAAAAATTACGTCAGCACAGGTATAAATTAAATAATAGAACGACCAGGCACTTGATATTTAACAAAACTTACCAAAACAAGATTTTAAGTTTATATCAGTCATATTATTAAATAATAAAAGTATAGAAGCTAGCCTTCAAAAGAAGTAAAACTGATGACAGCTAAATCAGAACTTCCAATATCCACCTTATAAGAGTCCCCATGAGTAGATGTGACAATCCCAATCACACGATCCCCTTTTTGAGGGACATACCTAAATAAACATACGTGGAACAAAATAATTCTCATAGGCTCAAGTTTCAAAACAATCGCCCTTTTTTCTTTATAGGCTTATTCATTTCATAACTAAAATTCAAATGCACTAGCTGTCAGTCGACTAACCTCTTTGAATGAACTGTCATCCACTGTTTACCACGAGAAACACGTCGAATCCCTGGTTTTACGACTAGCAAGTGCTCTGGATCATTAATGATTCGTTCTAAACCACAACCAATCACCTGAAATACGCATGTTCTACTCGATAAACGAGAAGCACGTGAAAAACAGACAAAATCATGAAAATTTTTCATGATCTAACAACAAAAGAATACGAAATTGTGCTGCACTAACAAAAAGTCAACCTCTGATCCGTGTGTGTTAGGGATCCTCAAAGGAATGATGTCTCCTGGAATATGAATGTCAGGCATCTGCTAATTCACAAAGTTCTTTTGCAATAGCTGTTTACTAATTAGTTTTCTGAAAGCACGGGTAATTTTACATCACAAGTGCCTCAAAAAACGCAAAATAACAAACACTGTAAAGGTCATAGGACATGATATGAGTAAACTACCGAAATAAAGATATAATGATCAAAGAACAAGAACAAACAATCTCTTACAGAAAGCATAATAAATATCTGAGTCAAAGCTACAGAGAGTTGAAGAAAACCAATTAAAAGCTACAAAACGCATGATTTATTCAATATTATTTTTTAATACATAATGAAATCATTTCAAACAAAATTTATATGAATCTAATAAAAGATCTTCAATTTCATGACGAAATTTGGAATCGAACTGGAATTTTACAGTACTACTTGTAATTAAAATCGTTCTAAGAGTATTGACTATTTCATTTACACCACCTTCGAGCCAATCACAATCCGCTAGAGAAACAGTGAGAAAAGGTGCCTGAAATCAGCACAATTTTATCAGAATTTTCTGGATTCAAGGCTACTGAAAATCCTTACATTTTTCGACAAAACGTGATAAGCTGTCATAAAGATATTTCAAAAGAACAAACCTTATCAGCCTTAAGTCTCAAACACAAATCAATGATCGAACAAGATACTGTCGTCGCAGACAAATCCAAGGCGGTCATTCCCAAGCAATATTTCAAAGACCACTGTACTATATCTGCCGGGTTACTCAACTCGTTCAGTGATAAATTCAGCACCTCTAGTTTACTCTCTACTTGAGGCTAAAATACTAAATGAAAAAAAAAGGTGCAATGAACATTATTCCTTCAACAAAATAAACAATAAACTTGGTAATTTCAAATAGTTAATGACATTTTTATGCACCTTAGAGAAAACTTCTTGTAGCCTAAACTTTGAAAAAAGTAGTTAAAACCACAAAAACAAGCATACGTTACTTTGCAACAATTTGAAGATTGCAAAGAGGTCACATAACTACAAAATGAAACACTTGCTAATTTTTTGCATGCACGAAAAAAAAAATAACTTGAAAATATAAAAAATTATTTTACTAGTGACCTCTAGAGTGAAATCAACTATCGGCAGAACGACATAAGATGAAAATATTTAAAGACAAAAATCACAAGCACTTTTGTCATTACCATTTCATTTATGCTGCAAACAGACGTACATGACAGATTCATATGTTTTAAGCTGACACAAGATCTCAATACCGCGGAAGCATGTTCTGAATCGATTACTGAATTGTAGCTCAAATCGAGCACTTCCAATGAAACCATTGCTTTAAGTGAAAGATAATTAACTGAAGCAAATGATAAATTTTCAAATCTTGTGGAATAAAGAAAAAGAAAAAAATCGTATCTTATTTTTTTTAAAGAAGGAAACACACAGCATCTTGCCTAGCTGAAAATATTTACAAAACTATTAGTGTTTTGATTATTAAACATTTTTATTGAGAAAAATTTACTATATAATAAAGGATTTGAACCGAAATCATACAGAATAGGAAAGGACTGATTATTTTAGCTGAAATAATTAATAAAAAAATTGAAATTACTAAATTAGTTATAGTAGTAAAAAGAATAACTGTCGGTTCACTAATTTTTAAACACACTTTCAATTTTTGGTATTATGTTGTCCGCAGTGCTACGACTTAAATTGCATGAAGCAAGTCCAAGATATTTGAGATTTGGACACAAGCTTAAGACCGTCTCTAAATAATTCGAGCCAACATCACTTAGATCATTATAACTGAGATCCAATTTATTTAGCTTATTACAAACAGCATAATCACCAATCCAATGTTTGAGATTTCTGCTGAAATTAAACAAAAATTAAGCCTAAGTTCAAAAAATCCGCCCTAGAAATTGAGCTGAAAAGACATAAATAATTATTCTTCCTTGGAATTTCTGAAGAAACTGCGGTAAGTAAAATGTGATCAAAATAGAAATCTACAAAAATTAGCTCTTAATAACACAGCAAACCTTTCTAATCCACAACATGGGACGCTAAGTATTGTAAACTGGCGAAAAAGTTTTGAGACCAAGTTAACAAATGCCGATGACAAAAAGTTTCCATCTAAATAAAGTTCTATCAAATTTGTTTCGAGGGCTTCTACTGCTGCACAAACAGCATCATCTTGGCCAACTTTCATCTCACGCAAATCCAAAAAACCACCTGTACTTTCCGTAAATGCACGTAATATGTTTGTCATGAGTTCTGTAATTGGCACACATCAAATATGACAACTGTCAAGTAATTTTGATCTTTAAATTAATATAACTATGTAATCAACTGTGACGAAATCTGCTGCATGAAGAAGTTCTGATCAAAAACTTTCAGAAAAACGAACTTTTTGAGTGTTTTGCATAAATTTGTGCAGCGGATGGTCTTGCCCAACCACTTAAGACACAATCCAATGCGTTATTGTTGCCTGTTAATACTAACTCAACAGGAGTGTCATCTGACAATTCACAATCATCATAACAAATTGTCATCGATGAATACTCTACACTCCCTCTCAGTTCATCTTCACAACGTTTCCGAATATGGCCTATCATACATGGACTGGAAACACACACTATACAATACAAAAATTGTCAACGGAAATGCTCTCAAAGTTTAGTACACAGCAAAATGCTAATTATAGCACATAAAAAAGGATTAGACCAAGTTACAATACCTAACCTTGTGAATGGCATGCCTTTGGTCTTCAAACGAGTATCATCATTTTTTTTAAAATTTATCTTGATGAAAATCTGATTAACTACTTTCGATGACATAGAAGAAGCAGAATCCACTATTTGAATAGGATCTCTTTGCCTATCTTGAGATGATAATAATGATGGCTGTATGACGCATTCCTGGACATTTTTTAAGCTTTCTGAGATATTAGAATTAGAAGAGTTCTGCAGTGTACTTGAAGCCTTTGTTTTTTTTTTATCCTGCGCAGAAGTATATGTGTAAGCAACTAGTTCATCATCAGAATCATCGGAAAAACTGCTAAAAATTAATGAATAATAAAGATACAGTGATAAATCATACACTACTTTCTATATGAAGGTAAATATTTTCATAAAGCTCAGAAATAAAATGAAAAAAATTTTAAATGTTGTGGACTTGCAAAAACTAACACTATGTTTTCTTTACAACGGCGATTCATCTTTTTGGTAGGTTGAACTTCTGACTGCGAAAATTTCAAAGAATCAGTGAAGTGATTAATACCAGAAGTACACGGTTGTTGGTTACAATAATCAATTGCTGAAATCACTACTCTTTTTAGTAAAATGTAGGAGGGTAATTTATGAAAAATATTAAAAATGGTATGCATTTTATGCAGTTCATATAAGCTTTGAAGCTATATTTCAATGAAAGTTAAGTGAGCGATACTTGCAAAAAATTGAGAAAACTTATAACGGCTAGATATTAAACCATCTATTCCTTTTTTAATAGATTTGAATATTTTAATAAATCTTAATAGCAAATTGCCTTCATATCTTCCAAACAACTGATGACTGATGGAAGAAAGCGGTAAAGAATCTAAAGCTTCCGAGGATTCAGTTCCGTAAATGAAAGAATCAGATAACTTATCGTTGTCCATAAGAACATCATCTAACGGTGAGATTAAATGCCTACCATGTTTTGCGTTATTCATTTTATTCTAAATTCGTTCATTTAAGAACATGATCTGAACCATGATTTAAAACATGATCTTAATATACAACAACAATCTCTTAAAACTTCTACATATATTTTATGGATCCTGAACTACAATGCTAAAATTTGATTATTCTTTCATGGCTTTCAAAGTTGTTTTTCTTTCTGAATTCTAAATGATAATTTAAGGCCATCCTCAATATCAGAGAGTAACAGATAATAAACAAAAAATCAGTTGTGCATTAGCTGACTATAAAAGCTTCGAAGAAAGAAAAAGATGGATTAAAAAAAATCATCATAAACTTATAATACCTAGTAAAAAACCAAGAAGTATTTTAGAAAATAAATAAATTAAACCTCAGAAGACCCATTCTCCTCAATATCAGATTCATCAAACAAAATATTCGTACGATTATGAGTTGCTCCGCGACCAACAACACTCATTGTTTTTCGGTAATCTAGTAAATTACCTTGATTTGGATCCGGCAACTTATCCTGAACGCTGTTAGACATTGTTCTAGATTTCAATTTTGGCCCAAATTTGAGCTTTTTTGGTGGTGGTTCTGCTTTCACTATGATATTTGCTAAAAAAGCAGAGATTACTCATTTAACGTTTTTCAGTTATTCAACAACAACAACCATGATAAGTTCCTAAAAACTGTTCAAGTCACAAACAATATACATTTTATTTCCCTGACATTTGTTTAAAATATTTTTTTTAAAGAAAAAATTAAAGTAAGTTCAAATGCTAAATCCTTGGAATAAAAATTTTTCAACACCAATTAATGCTTGCTAGAAGTTCATATGATACCAATACATAAAAAATTAAATTTTGAAACCTTCTTCCAACTTTTTTTCCATGACTGATACTAGTTGCTGAGCTTGTTTCATATCTTCATCTTCAATCATTCCCATCTTTATTGCATTCCGGAGAAAATCAAGCGCTGTCCAATCATCTCTATTTTTAATTCCAATACTTGCTCCAGAATGTAACAATAAACTGACTATTGCTGTAGCACCCCGATCGCATGCTTCCATCAGTGGAGTTAAGCCACCACTATCCTTAATTCCATTGATATTTTGGACATTCATTTCTTAACCAAACCAGGAAGTAATATTAGCAAATACACCAGTTCCTTGTGAATAAACAAATAATGAACAAGAAACCAACTGTTCGCTCGCCATCAGCTGACAATGTTCCCTCATTTGAACGCAAATTAAGATTTGCACCACTCTGCACTAAAATTTCGACATTTTCAAGTTTTAAAGCTCCAACAGCCTCATGCAATGGGGTCCAGCCACCTTCATCACGAGCGTTTACATTGTATCCCTAAAACTACCAGAACGCGAAAAATATAATAATATAACAGAAGTAATTTCATTACTAAAAAATCAAACATTTGGAAAAAAAATATGTTAAAATGTGAGATATCAAATATGGATAATGCTGAGTAGATATTTGGAAATAACTGTTTATCAAATAACTTTATGCCAAAATTTATGAGCGCATTTACGTTTTATTTAACTCATAAGTCGCTCGAACAATTGTTTCTGTAAATGAATAAATAAATATAGCATAGATAACCATTTTAATGAGTGTTTTTAAATATTGGCTATCACTACCACGAGCAGCTTCATGCATACGAGTTTCACCATACAGATTTATTTTTTTATCTTTCTCCGATTTAATTCGCTCTTCCATACTTTGACGATTTGCTTCATCTAAAGAGAATCATATGAAAGCCAAAAACTTCATTTATGATTAATGCCTAATACAACAACCTAGAGGTATTAACCAAACATGTTTAAAAAATACAGCATATCTACATACTCAAATATAAAACATGTAACATTTGCTTTACAGCGCGCTAGAAAAATCAGTACAAAATAATATAAATTTCAGGAATATATTATTACCATTACAACGAAAGAGAATTTGTGTGTCATTCACTTCATCCCAACTATCCACAAAATCGGTTTCTATATCCTCATCACTCAATGATAAATTATCAACACTTCTCTGTTTATCACTACATATGGAGCTTAGCTTCGAAATAATTTCCGAACGCAGGTTTTCACAATTACCATTTGCTCCCAAATATTCCAACATTTTTTCATAAATGGTTTTCTAAAATATTGCAGTTACGCTTAGCAAAATTTTATTAATTTCCTCATATTTAACAATTTTAGAGTTTCTTAACAAATTTCAATAATTCGATTTTTAATTTATTCAAAACAACTGAAAAGACAAAAGAAATGAAACAGAACTTTTGAAACCGCAAATAAAAAATGACCTTTTGGTGATCGAGAACGGAAAGACTCTCAGCTGCTCGGAAGAAATTCAAAACTTGTTCCATTGAAAAATAATTGACATGAGCAGCAACAACAGCTATACAAATACTTGTTTCTGCTTTCTAAATGAAATAAGAAGCTTCTTCATCCAGGAAAATGATCGAAAAATTTCTAATATATCAAAAAGAAATTCAGTGCAAATATTAATCTTGTTAAAATTTTTAATCAGAATCAAGCATGATTGAACATTTTTCTTTACTAACTAAGTTTAGCACTTAAAATTTGATAAAAAAATAGAAAAATTTAAAATTGCAAAAGTGAGTCACAGTAATTTGGGAATTGGAATAAATTAAGAAATCTCAATGATTGAACAATGACTTTAACAGTTATGCTGAATTGAAGTAAAGATTTAAATAACAAACCTTAACTTTGCTTATGTCCAACGAGTTTTCCAAAATTTGGACTTCATTATAACACTCAAAAGCTTCTCGATAAAGTTCCAACTCCCTTGCTGTTTCTGCTACAGAAACTAAAGCTCTAATTTTGTCTTCAATTTTAATCGCATTGGCTGACATTTGTCTATAGAATTCAAGTGATATGTCACAAAATCCGATCTATAAAAAAATTACGTCATCTCAATTTAGAACAGAAGTTCTTAATTTAGATGGATATTTGGCTTACCTTTTATATTCACTAGCAATAGCAAACTTCCAAAAAAAAGACAAACTTCATATAAGGTGTCAGCTATTTTTTCATTGATTTTCATCGTTAACTGTTTATCAGCATTGGGTAGCATTTTTATACGCTCCAGTGTTTTGTAAACTAGAATGATTAACACAAGTACCATGATTGAGATGAAGAGAAATACATTGAAGTATCAAGTAAAGTCCGAGTCAGAAACACATCCAAAAAATTACACTTGAAAATTTGGCCGAGCTTTCTATTTATACAGTTTTCATTGCCTTCAGTTTTTGACGGCAATTCTATGTGTAATTACATAACTAGTTATAATAACTAAAGCTCTTGTTTCTTTTCACGCAATTTTCATATTTTTCCGAAGAGAACACTGAAATGAGGTCTCAAAAAAAAGACACAAATAAAACTAAAAATATATGGAAACTTTATTCTTTTTTCTGCATAAAAGTAAAAAATAACCTGTTACTAGTATTTTGTAGAAAGATTCTTGTTCTTCTTCATCCAATTTTTCATGTTCTTTTGAAGACAACATTGAAATGAGATCCCACTTTGCACCAACGAAATCTTTAACTCGAATTTTCTCCTTCGAATAATTTACATTACAATTTGAAAATTTAACAATGACTTTTTGGAGCAAAATTTTGAAATCAGTACACACTAACCTGAGCTAGTATATATTTTGCTTCACATAAACTTTGACGATTCAAATTAGCAGCCACATGAACTAATTCGATTGCAGTTTTTAAACGCTGATCACCGAAAAAATTTAGCTTAGAAAGCAAGCATCTATATTGCAAATCATGGTCAACTGCACGCCTAAAAAAACGCTATTGGTATTTGCTAGTCATCTAATAACTATGACTGAATACTATTGCTATATTTTATACCTGATACATCTTGAAGTCAAGAAATTCTAAAAACAAACACTGCGTAAGCCATAGCTGCATTATGATAACGAAGCGACAGAGTTTGCAATTTCATTTTATCACATATTTGTGAGAGTACTTGTTGTAATCGCGCTTTTCTAGCTTTTGAATTTTGTCCCATTTCTACAGCACTAAATAAGAAATTGTTCATGTCAGTGTATTCACAGAAAACTGAAGCAATACAACAAAGCTTTTAAATCTATTTAAGCGAAATAAAAACCATAACCATAGAAATGAAACCAAAAACTACGTCCCAAAGTAATCAAACCCTCAAAAATTTCACTCCTAATAGACATAAAATTAATTACTAATTGTTTATAAATATTGGGCTTAGTATGAAGAGTCGGATTCGTTTACATAAAACTTGAGAGATGAATATAAGATGAAATATGATTGCAACAGCTGATATAAGTGAACTAACTTTTTGTCGGTGTCTATATCCAAAGCGTGCTTAGCCAAATAATCAAGGCTTTTCTCGCACCACTGTTTGCCCTGAACATTATATTTTCATCAGTTAGTCAAATTGGTGCATTGAAAATTCGTATAACTTTTGAAGTGAACAAGCAAAAAAAAATCCTTTCAGAATGAATCGGAACTGACATTACCTTCTCAAGTAATGACTGTTGTTTTTCATCTGAATTTAAATAAATTTGTAAGTGGAGCCATCCAAGTACATGAAATGCAAGTTGTATAAAGTGAACATTTTTTGATTCCTTGGCTGCATCCAAATATTTTTTTCCATGCTGTAGGGCTTGCACATTTTGTTGAATACCTGAAAACAAAATGTTCGTATGCTTTTATGATTGAAATAAAGAAAAAAAATCCCGCTTCTACGATTTTACTGCAAAAGTAATGATTATCATTTAACTTTCCATAACTTCTAAACATGAAACGCTTCTTGCTGGAGAGTAACTCATATTATGAAAATTTAGTCTTAGCCAAGCAACGAGGTCGATCAATAATTGCATAGAAGACTAAGACACCATAGGACAACCAAAAAATTTTAGTTATAAGGTAACTGCAGGCCATTTGGAGAAACGACTCTGCTTTTGCCATTTGCAACATTTATCTCCCAGAATTTCTTTTTAACATGTCACTGATACAAGTAATATTAAAAAATCGAAATGTAAGTCAACTGCTAGCAAATTTTTCTCTGCAACATACTTGGATCTACAAGAATTTCGGCAACAGCTCTGTGAGCAAAAGCAGCATTTTCATGGGCACTTAATTTTTCAGCAAGTTGGATTCCTTTACGATAATAACTCAATGCATTCCGTAAATTAGCAGTTCTTCGGTACTCATCACCAATTTCAATGTACAAGTCACAGGTCTTTTGGTGATTTTTTTGATTAACAAACTTTTTAAGCTGACGTTCTAATTCTGAAAATTTTTCAAATAATTATGGACAATAAGTGCTACTTATTCTATGTGATGTCAAAGAGTTGAATTAAAACGTTGCTCAATAATGAATTTAATTTCAGATATTTTAAATTTATTACGGTCATATGAATACAATATTAGCAATGCCAAGATAATTCATTGGTATGATTAAAATTTACTTAGCAAGGCTGGATTCAAAAAGTAGCACTAATTTTACATTGATAATATTTACAAGCCAGCACAAAAGTTACAGTAGTTCATATTTTTTCAGTGATTACTTGCTCACAATTTTAACTTCTTTTCCTAGTACTGACTATTATATTTTTTATCACAGCAGGTAAAGAAGTTTTTCCTCTCGAAATATATTTTAGGAAACGATTTTAAATTTACCATAAATGCATTCACTATCTTTTCTCTTCTTCTTCGGCATGACCAAATGTGGATTTCTGGTTCAGCAAGAACTGTCCACAAATCTTCTATCGCAGTACCAGATAGAAAGTGAAAATGCATGGATTCATTGAATAAACAAGATCTCAAATATAAATTGCTGTTAAATATGGATATTACACTTAAGAAAGCTTGCAAAGCCTTACAATAATTAAAAGTTATGTAGAAATGAAGAAAGTATTAGCAGTTTATTAGTTCATATTATAGGTTATTACATACAACATGAAGAGCTTAAACAGAGAGGCCAATAGAGACGAAAGAAATGATTGAAAGTAATCCACCAAACAAAAACCAAACCCTAAACATGACTACAGATCTTAATCACTCATAGTTTAACAAGGTTTTGCAACTACAATGATATGCGAGACGTATATACGTGAAAATAAATTCAATAAGTGTGTCCAACCGTTATTTACCATTTTAGTGCCGTGATTGTTTGGATATCAATATTTGTGATATTTGAGTTTTGATGTCATAAGGGTTCGTTATAGGCAGTTTTCTACAGTTTATCTCTCATAGATGCTTCTCTACTTGGTCGGAAATTGACTGCTCATGCACAAGCATAGTTGTGTCAAGTCTCACGCACGCAGACTAGATCACAAACTGATTTTAAGACATTTCTTTTTTCTGCTTTCCTCTTCATGCTGTGCCAGTTAACCTAAAAGCAATTTAGAAAGTTTTTAATATTTATTGCATTTAGTGTTTTGCTCTAATTGGCACCTTTTATTCATTTGCTGATTTGTTAGAGTTACTTTTTCAAGCAATCTAATCGTCTTCACATTTTGTGTGCTACGTCTTCTTTCTACTCTGTTATCAATCAGAGTATAGTAAGGTTTTGATGCTCGTAATGTGCATTAAAACCCATCAGTCTTTAATAATACATATCTTGACAGCTTTGGTTTAGTTAAGGTACAGAATTATCTCATATTGCTTTTTTGTGTTAATCAGTTTCTACATCGCCATTTTCCGGGTATCAATAATTATTTTCCAAAAAACATCTAATTAAGCCTTAAATATGTTTGCTTTGTATGAAATATGATTCAGCAGAATTTTTACTCGCAAAGTTTTCACTTACTTTCGTATTACAACATTTATTAGTTTTTATTTCGAAGATTACAAAAAAATCGTATAATTTTTTGAAGGTTAAGTTGTTTGATGTACTAATCTTTTTAGCGTGAAGTATGCTAAAAAAATTTATCGCTTTTTAGTGTGGTGGGGAAGAGAAGAACGTTGTAGTGAGCAATGGCTGATGGAAATAAATGCGATCTTTTACTGCTTAATTTGGCGCAACAGTTAGAAGGTGGCGTACCAGAGCTTCTGGATATCTTATTTGGGTAAGATTTTTTACTATATTTTAAAAAAATTCCGATCATTTTTGCTATGAAGTATGCTTATATGACTAAAATATGATAATGTTTATCGTCCTTATTCAGTTTCCTGAATTCTTCACTGATTTCTTTTTACATGTTTTGCAGTTTTTTGTCTCGAAAGACGGATTTTTATACTGGTGCTGATATTTCAACAGCTCGAGAAATGGTCCTGAAAGCATTTGATAAGCACAGCGAGTCTGCAAAACAAGTAAATGTGTTTTTATTTGATCAAATCTGTGTTTTCTTTTCATGTTTTTACTTCATTTCTTGATTTTATATGCCATGAAGACTAAAATTTTAGAAATGTTTAAGGCTGCAGAAGATGCAAAAAAAAGACGGTTAGAAGAACAAAGACGTTTAGAAGAACGAAGAGCAGCACAAAAGGCAAAAGAAGTTAGTTAATTTATGCAGTCAGGGGTAAAAATTAAATCAGGAAAAAGCTTGGTTTGAATATTTGTAATCATTCTTGGAGGATGTCTTCATATTATCGTTAATGCATTCCATAAAAAATTATGTAAAGATCATAAATTTTTTATTGTGCGTAGAAAATTATATCTCGCTATAGGAACTTGAAATTAATGAACCAAAAATTCGTGAAATAACGGATGAAGAAGCCGAAGAATTAATGAAGAAAGAGGAGAATAAGGAGCAAGTTTCACCTATTATTGATGGTATTTGATTTCTTGTCATTACTTTTTTTGCATGAAAAAGAAAATATTGTTCAATACAAATTTACAAATACTTGTTTTGTGACATTATCGCTCCAAAAAGTACTTGTTTTGTGGAACTAGTACTGCATATTGAGTTGATTAACTGAGTGGTGCTAATTGAATTTTGCAGATAATGATAAAGATAGTCAAGATGAAGATCCTGAAGATAAGGGGAAGTTAAAACCAAATGCTGGTAATGGCTGTGATCTAGAGAACTACCAGTGGACTCAAACGTTAGGCGAAGTCGAGGTATCTACGGTTTTATTTGTTCTTGCAGATTCGTTTTGGTTATTATTTGCAAAGTTTGCCAATTCTTGTTATAAACATAAAAAGTCACGTTCGAATAGGTTCAAGGATAAGCAAGGTTATTTATCTAATATTACAGCAGCTTTTTTAGTTCTTAAAGGAAAAGTGAAAACACATGTGGCTGCTTTCTACGAAAACCAAAAATCCGTGACTCATACAGAATATTTGTAGGTTCGTGTCCCATTCAAAGTTGGTTTCCCACTGAAATCAAAAGATGTCATTGTTGAGTTTACAAAAAGCAAATTGAAAATTGGCCTGAAAGTAAGTGCTTTTCATGTATCATTTTCATACTCCGTCCTTATGTTAGGTGACATGCACATTTTTATGTTTTATACTATTATATTGATGGTATCAGGAATCAAATCCAAATTTTTTGCAACATCTATTTTTATCAGTAATTTCCACTTTTGTATTTGTAGGGACAAGAGCCGATAATCGACGGTGATCTTTATAATATCATAAAAGTTGAAAACACAACTTGGATTCTTGAGGACCGGAGAACCGTTGTTCTTGCAATGGAAAAGGTATTTTTTATCTGTAGTCATTTTTAACTGATGATCGCTCCAGTTTCATTTATGTATAAATTAACTTCATAAAACTTAGCAAGTATAATAGCAAAATTCCAAAAAATCTTTTGTTGTGGAAAGTTGCTAACAAAGTTAACCAAAAATTCTAGATTAATAATATGGAATGGTGGAGTAGGTTGGTGAAAACAGATCCAGAAATAAACACGAAGAAAGTACAACCAGAAAGTTCTAAACTTTCTGATTTGGATGGCGAAACCAGAAAAATGGTTGAAAAGGTAATTACGGATATTGATACAGTGGGTGCCAAAGCACTGAAATAAATTTCTAGTCTTATTTCATTGATTAGCATCTAGTACTTTATTAAAATGAGTGTAAAATCTTAGATGATGTATGATCAAAGGCAAAAAGAGTTGGGACTACCTACTTCTGAAGAAAAAAAGAAAAGGGAATTGCTAAGCACGTAAGTTTCTCAAGGCTCTTTGAATGCATCTCAAAACCATCTTATTTTCGTGAAATATGTTATAAACAAATCAAGAATTTTCGCAAGATGTCACCAAAAAATTTTAATGATATTTAAAAGTAGCGAACAATTGCTACTTCCTAAGAGTATATATTATTTCAGGTTTATGAAGCAGCACCCAGAAATGGATTTCTCACAAGTGAAGTTCTAAAAAACAATGCTTCTTCATTCATAAAGTTGGATGAGTATGTCATCCATAAAAACCAATCATTTAATTTTTTTTCTATTCTTTATGTTGCTATTGCACATTCTAAACGTAAAGTATTTCGTGAAGCAATTAAGCTGAATTAAGTTTGTTTCTTTGACTTTGTTTCTCATCTATTCTTTATGTTAAGTTTTTTTAATATGTGACATGATATATTGCATTATTATATTGTGAATTATATAGTCATATGTTGTTTTATTGTAAGAAGTGAAAGTAATCGTAAACTGTGTTAAGTACGTAATCTGAATACAGAAATTCGGTCTAATTCTAATATTGCCTATTTAGCAAACTTCCTTCGTATGCACTGCAAGGAAACTAAATAACACATGGTCATAAGAAAGTCTACCATAAATTGCTTGTGGTTCATCAATGAGACTATCTGCAGTAGCGGAACTCTCGTATTTATCAAGAACTATTTAATTCACAACACATTTGCAGTTATGCATGCTCATGGAAGGAATATTAAAGGTATTCAAAAACCTTGAACGAAGACGTATGTGACTCATTTAGACAAATATCGTGTCTTCCACTCTATTTTTTTCTGGTTACAAATAGGTAATGAGCGGGTGCATTGATAAATTCTGATAAATTCAAAACTTGTACACAAACTAAGACATGGTCAAGTATTTGAGACAAATAAACTTGTAGGAACTTCGACAGTTTAATTACTTTTACAATCAGACCATTTGCCTTTTCCTACAGGAATGCAGACGTTAGTAGTAGAAGGACTGGTGATTCATGTGCTAAGGTTTTGTGTACAGTCATCTGACGCTGCATATATTATCTAGTTATAGTTCGGAAACACATGACGTTTTTTATAAAGCAGGCAAAACGATGAATAAATTCGTTTAATTACTATCATAAAATAAAACAATATCAGTCTCAACTTTTTCAACAGAAAGCTATGTCATTACTACAACTTAAGCTTCGTACGACGCCAATGTCTTCTTTTTGCATTATACCGGATTTTGCTTCCAGTTTTCATGCGAGCCCATTGCGGTAAAGGTCTGCAAGATGTCTAAATTGAGAAGGCGCAAAACTTCAGTTCAATGCAAGCAGCATATTTCAAGACATAGATTAAATCAACTAGAAATTTACAAATTCAAAACAAATAGTAATGACTTAAAAGAGACAAGCGGGAAAGATGACATGCGATAAGTAAATCATTAATTCACGACATTTACTTACCTATTTTGCTTCGCTTTTTTAGCTAATTTTCGTTTGATAATAAAAGTCTTGTGTGCAGCCATCACGCTGTATATATTATCTAAAATAAGTAAAGTGACAACATATTACTGCGCGATCATCATTGTACACAAGCCGACCGCACACTTTAATGAATTATCTACTTAGAAATACAAAATTCAGCAAATAATACAAAAATCGAGAATTATTTGCTTATTTTAGATAATATATACAATTCCGAAATTCATCAAATACTAAAACGAGTGGTGCGGTTGACATAACTATTTTAAATCGATGATCCTATCTGAAAAATGGCTAATCAGTAAAAGTAAACTTTATGCCATACGTAAAGTAAATCAAGGCAAATGAGAATACGTACTAAGGAGATATGAAAACTAGCAAAGGAACGCAACTATGTGTCAGACTGGTACTTTCATTTTACTGACCCAAAAATAATTCATGGGAAAAATGCCAAATTAAAATCTGATGTTAAAACGCATGTTCGGTACTCGTTGGCGCTTTCTGCCGTAATTTTAAAGTAGAGAAAGTCAGTAACATAAATTATTTCGTTTGTTTTAAAACGATTAGGAGTTATTGGTCAAGTTTTCAGTGAGTTGACTTTAGACAAAATGTGTGTACACGTAGCTCGTGAAAACTGTTGAAGACCATGTGTGAAGTAATTAAGAGCTAATGCACTGAAATGATCAAAGCAATTCTGGTATTTAACAATCATGGCAAACCACGTCTGCTAAAATTCTACGTTCACTATGTATGTTTTATTGATCTGATTTTTTTTGTCACTAATTCCTTGCTGTGCTAGACATAGAGCGTGTTGTTTGTTGTGTAAATTCAGATTAGTAACTTTTGTCAAGGATATCGAGAAACTGTAAGCCATGGTTAAAATTTTCTCATTTATTGATATATTTCATTTCATTTTTCTTTATACGGAAAAACATATACTCTAAAATTTTCTGAAAATTATACCGGTGTACGTTAAGTTATTTTTCCACGTGAACCTGAAAATAAATTGCTGAAAGATTAAAAAGTCAAAATTAGAGGTAATTTGAAGCTGTTGACGTATTAATTATACATCATCTTTTTAATGCACTGAAAACATCTTCTGCGTAGTTTTTTTTAAATTGTACAAAGTTCAGAAGGAACATATAAAAGATTTGTTGCAGGTCGTTTAAATTTATTGTTTTTAAATGAACCCGTTGACGCAGGAATTTACAAAATCTTTAAGTTTATAATCTACGAAATTATTCAAAATGTGTTATTTCTTTCTCAACCCAGAAATTAATTAGCAAAATAATAAAAATTTTGACAATTTCCTAGAAGAAATAAGTTCTTTTAAGTATGTATATGATAGACAAAGTTTTGCCTTTATAGCCAGAAGAAGAGCAGCAGCATATTGTACGTGAAACATTCCAGTTGGTTTCAAAACGTGATGATAATGTTTGTAATTTCTTGGAAGGGGGCTCGCTGATTGGTGGATCAGATTACAAGTTAATATATCGACATTATGCAACATTATACTTTGTTTTTTGCGTAGATTCATCAGAAAGTGAACTTGGCATTCTTGATCTTATCCAGGTTTTCTGAAAAACTTTTCTTCATTTGACCAATTATATTTTATTCATTTATCAATTTACCGATGAATTCTGTATGAAATTTCATGGAATACTTTTTGCATATTTGCTTGCTATTATCATTAATCCCTCTATGAAGGAACAAAACGTGAATAAAATTTTGTATTTACTCCTAATGATTAGAAATTCTTCCTTAAATAAACAAAATTGTAATTTAACGATTGATTGAAAAAAAATTCTTGAAGAGTAATTATCAACAGTTGGAATTTTGCAGATCTTTTCATCATATTTTTTTTAATATTAGTCAAAAGTAATTTTTGCAGGTATTTGTCGAAACATTGGATCGGTGTTTCGAAAATGTCTGCGAACTGGATTTAATTTTTCACATTGACAAAGTTTGTCTTGACATATTTTTCGTTAACAGTAATATTCCTTGCATCTTATCATGTATTTCTTAATTTTATTAGTCCTTTTATTAAAATTTGAGTGCAGGTACATCACATACTTAATGAATTGGTTATGGGAGGAATGGTGTTAGAAACGAATATGAACGAAATTCTCTTAAGAATACAGGAGCAAGAAAAATTGGAGAAGCAAGAGGTTCTTATTTCTTTTATGGTCAATTCAGTTTTAAAAAAGTTTTTACAAATTTGAGTAATGCACTTTCAGCTGTACCTTAAAACATTTTTTTGGTTTTATTTGCTGTTCGAGAACAGTCATGCCTGAGAATTATCAATTTTAACCACTTAATAAATGCTTAGAAGTTTTGTTTCAGGCTGGATTATCGGCAGCTCCAGCTCGTGCTGTTAGTGCAGTAAAAAATATAAATATATCTCAACATATCAAGGATTTTAAGTTCGCTGATATCAATTTATCAAACATAAAAAATCCATTTTAGAAGTGTCGGTGTTTGTGATAGTAATTATTTGATCATGCTGCAGAAATTTAGAATCTATTTCTTTGACTAATGTCCTGCCTGTTTTAAACCAGAAATGCCATTAATTTGAATTTAGTAAAGAAATTTCACTAGTATTTATTACATAGTTCTAAAAAAATAATAGGAAAGGTGGAGACGTTTTGGTACTTATACTAAATTAATTATAATCATTGGAAGAGTCAGTTGACAAATAAGATAATTTTTAATTTGGGAGTGTGATTTAAGATGAATGTTTTCTTTTGAAAGCGCAACATTTTCAACTATAATTGCATACGTCTCTATCATTTATTTTAAAAGGTATATTTTCTAAGAGTAGTTTAGGACAGAATTTTTAATGAATTGCAACCAATTACATTTTCTCGGAAAATACTTTTATAACAAAATATATTCGACAAAAAGTATTTCGTATCGAGCAAAAGAAGTGGTATGTGTGAGTTTCTTTTCTAATGTGTATGAATTCTCAAAGGATAGTAATTGCTTTTATCAGTTTTATTTATATTATTATGGATTTGATAGATGTGTATTTCTCTTTTGTTAAATAACGTGGTTACTAAAATAAAATTATTAATTTATCAGGCGGATATTACTTTTGAATCAGGAGTGTTTTGTAATTTCTGATTACCGGTGAATATTTGTATTCACTGCTGTTTCTTTTGATTTCTTTGCGTGAAATTATCACAGTTTGGGATCACTTTCACTTTTAACGATGATGAATGCTGAAGAAGTATTCATTACAGATTCATGTGTTCCACTACTTATTAATTATAGAGAGACTAATGACTATTTACTTCAAAAAATTGGTCATATCATTGATTCTTCCAATTCCTTCTTATTCTGTCGGAAGTAGTAGTGATTATTATCATTCATAACATTTATAATCAATTTTTTAATACACATTTTCGTATTTGCCATAAAACTACAAAATTGACTTTTTACTGAATTTATTTTTTTAGAAAAAATTTAAGAGCTGTGACACTTACAAATATGAGTGTCACATTTTTTGCATATAACTAAGTTACTCATTAAGTACTTATGTTGGTCAGAAGTGCGTGCAAGAAAATACTACTTTATAGGAAATTATTTGGTAATTGTGTTTCTTCATATTTGAATGTCATTTGGAGTAAGCGTAATTATTGTCCGAGTTCATTGTTTCGAGATCATATCTTCACAGATCTGATTCACTGGGATATTCGAATTTTTGGATTTACTTTACTTTTTTCGTATCAAAATTATTATGCAGATGCCGCTCATTTACTTCAACTAGAGATGTGTTGCTGGATTTAGATATTTGATACATTAAGTTTATTCAAGCTAGCAAGAGTTATATTTTAAAAACTGACAGTTTTTCTCATCTAGTCTGAAATTTAGTACTTAATATTGCCAGCTTTTTTAGTATTTTCGAAGTATATGGATTCATATTCATGTATTCTTCATGTTAAGTGTTAAGTTATATTCTTAAGATCTTGATGATTCATGCTGATAAAGTGATTTTGTTAATTCTATTGAGTGCTGTAACTGTAGTTGCTCGCATTCATTATCCAGAAGAACATCATCTTAGCAATATTCGTCAGTTAACATTTGGAGGGCAAAATGCTGAAGGCTATTTCAGGTGATTTTTTAATGCTTCCTGTTTAGCTTTGTGATTAGAAACAGTGAGTTAATTATTTTTGAAAAAGATGTGATAATGATGTTTTTATTGACCGTAACCGATAGATTCAGAATTTTTACGGTATTACCATGGACTGAATTTTCTCAAATGTGTATATCGCATTTTAAATATATTTTTTCCCTTTAAGTTTTCGTGTTTTGAATATTTAACAAATCTGAATTGATTTTTGCCCACAATGCATATATTTCTAAAGCTTTGATGGAAGTTGGTTGACATTCCAAGCATCTGGCATTCCCGAATATGGCACTTCTTGTGATCAGGTAGGGTATTATAACAAATACACCATTTGTTTCGAATATTTCTGTTTCATAGTAGGAAGCTTGTGCTTATTTACATTTAATTTAAAGTCATGAATCGGTTGTTTTGTGAAGTCTTGAATTTACCGCGATTAAATTGATACTTAGGATTTATCTTCAAATTTTTTTTGAAGTTAAAATGGCTTAATTTGAACCATATTGATTCAGCCGAGCTATGGATATTAATATATTTTCTTCTAGAGATATCCTTATGATAGTTATTGTGATTTGTTCTGTGGGAATTATTTTTATTATTCATTATTAATTAGATTGATTAATAAATTATTTTATTTATGTTAGTAAGATAAGCAATGATTTTTGCAGTAGTTGATCCCAAATCTTCCTGTCATCAGATTTTGCATGTGGAAATATATATTTCAGATATACAAACTTGATTTAACGATTCCGCCAAATAAACAAATCCCAAAGCGGATTAGTACAGGCGAGGTTTTCATGCCTTTATAGTGACCTGTTTGTTCGTGAGAAATCTTTACAATTTAGATATTTCGGTCCCTCCTGCTCTCACGTCATAATTCGATAAAATTTTGCGAAAAATGTGCATAGATTAAATTAATTAACGAAATTTCTGCTTTTGTATGTTTGCAAAAATTTTTGGCTATTTCTTATCATTCAATGTATTACTCACATTCATCATTGTTTTTGTGCACTATTTTTATAGTTTTTGCCACATTAGCGCAATTTTCATTTTATAATAATGATAATATGTGAAAGAGTCTTATGACCAGTCCTCTTAACATTTTATCAGTCATAGGTTCTTCTTATTTCTTTATTTTTCTTAAATATTGGTGCAAAACTTCAGGTTTGTTTGGAAGCGAACACAGTAGTTTTTAATTTAGGTATCGGAGTTTGTACCTGTTCATATTTTTACCCAGATAATCTTCATCTAATTTACGCCAGTACTTTTCAACAGGCAAAATTTAATTCATCAGACATTGCTCAAAGTTGCCCAACAAAAACTTGCCAGACTGAACGTGCCAAAACAGATCCACTTTTGAAGCAATTATGTGAGTTATATTCTTTTTTTATCAATTATTAAGTTCGAAAGTGCTTCAACAGAAACTTTGGAATCGAAAGTTCAGGTTAATTGTGATTATTGTCTTTACCACTTCAATATTTCTTTTAAATCTCTTTTAAACTGAAGAAATGTTAGGTAGTGAAGTTCATTATTCAAATCAAATTATAGCTTACACTTATTTGTATGTTCTTATATTGGCTTTGTTTTATGTAATTTTTGGAGTTTTTTCTGAATTCAAGCAATATTTCATGTAACTGATCTTTGGGTTTAATGCATTTATATTACTTAATGTAAGCTTATTATTTTCATTAAGCCAAAATAAGTTGAAAATTGCCGCATATATTTTTTTAGGAAAGCAGAAACTGGTTTATTTTTTTAGGTAATACAACTTATACGTGGGATCTTTTCCCGGAGTATGATATTTTTAAGGTATTTTTGAAAAATTTTTGGTGCAGGGACAAATATTTTTTATTCAGTTTCTATCACTTTATCAAAGATTTTTTTAGTTGCAAATTCTAAGCAGATCAAATTCTATTTCCAGGTAAATGAATTTGGTAGTTTTGTTAGTCGTTTAACAGACACACCTGGATATGATGCAGAGGGTGCCGTTTCTCCAGATGGCAAATATATTGTATTTACTTCGATAAGAAGCGGTGATCCGGAAATTTGGATTATGAATTCGGATGGGACAGAACCAAAGCAGGTTATACTTCTCCGAAATATTTTTCTTAATTAGCCAAGTATTTTGTTCAAGCTGTAGTTTTTTTCTTATCTCGTATGCAATGGGCTCCTAATTATTTTCATACTCTTCAAAAAATCTTAAGAAAACTTAAGAGCTTCTTAAAATGTTTCAGTTAACAAGTGAACTTGGTTACGATGGTGGTCCATTTTTTAGTCCAGATGGAACTAAGATTGTTTTTCGCGCTTCTAGGCCGAAGACCGCTGAAGAAATAAAGAAATATAAAGATCTGCTTTCGTACGTTCAATATAAATCTATATTAGTCTCAGTTACTTCGAATGCATGAATAAAGTTTTAATTCCCGTTTTCTTTATTATGCCTGCAATTCTGATTTAATTAAACATCAAATGGTATTAAATATGTGGAAATAAATACATGCAGAATACTTTTGCAATAAGTTTTTGTACAAACACTAGAAAAACATTTGTTTGCTATGCTCTTCACTCATATAATTTGCATCTTTTGCTTTATGTCAAAATTTAATTCAGTGTTTCAGTTATAATTTAGTCTCACCGCTTGAAATGGAATTGTATACCATAAATATCAATGGTAGTGGTTTAAGAAAAATTACGTCACTTGGTGGTTCGAACTGGGCTCCATTTTATATGCCTGATAATCGACGCATCATTTTTAGTTCAAACTTCAATGAGACAGGAGGTCATTTTGGAGCGTTCAACTTGTATATTGTCGATGAAATGGGTCAAAATATTGAGAGAGTAAAGTTTTTTAAAATAACTTTAACTGATTAACGAAAAAATTCGGCAAAATTTCAAGGAGTTATAAGTAATTTGACTACCTCTTTAAAATTTCAAATACTTTCACTTTTTATTTTTTGTTTTTGTCACAAACTAATGATTGTATAATGTATCACAGATAAGCTTGATGATTCTTGGCTTTCGGAAGCGCAATTTTTGATTGAATTCTAATGTGTTTTTTTAAATTGAAATCAGTGTTCACTGTTTTTAGTGAGATGAATAAAAAATTTTACGCAATCTTAAGTAAAGAAAATAAAATGCTACATCCACATTAGGTTACATTCAACGAAGGTGGGTTCGATGCTTTTCCAATGTTTGATAGAAGCGGACGACATCTTATTTGGAGTAGTAGTCGAAATGGCCGTAGTCGAACTGATCTCAATATATTCATTGGTGATTGGACGGAGATTCATAAAAGCATTGAAAATAGTTTAAAGAAGGTGTGATTTTCGAGTTTGATCACAACTTGTGTTGATATTTTATTTATCAAAGTTTAGGAAGAATTCGAAACTTAAGCTTGAAGTTGTAATTTTTCTGTAATCTGTGTTGTATCAAGTTTCGTTCATTTACTATGGGAAATTTCTATAC